AATTATTATTAAGCATGCCCTGGCTCAGGCTCAGGCTCGGGCTCGAGAGGATCGGGATTGGTTTGGTATTGGTATTGGGGGATATGCTTGTGGATGTGGACCTCTGCGGTCCAGCGACCAATTATATCGCCGAGCTTTGATCTTGCGACTGGTTCTAGGAGCAAACCATGGGCCCAGACTATTAAGCATACCGAAAGAAAGTTGGAAAATGTGAAGCAATTGTTTCTGGCATTTCGGTGGCACTTTGTTCTCCAGCCGCCACCGACTCCGACACCGAAACGAGGCGAGGCCGCGTCCTAGGCCATCTAATTCCCACTGAGGATTGCCAGACAAAGTTGACCGAATATTCCACTGTTTTTTTTGTTTTTGCCCTGCGCCTTGGATGGCTGTGAAGATTACGAATTGCAAATAAATCAAATGGAGCGTGTGCTATGCCCAAATGAAAGTTCCCCCAATTTCAGACGCATTCAATTAATGTCAGTCGTAAAACGTGCAGAAAAAAAATATTAACAAACAAAACGCCGAAAAGAAAAGCAAGTCAACACCCAAAAGATTTATAGGTTAAAGCGATTTTTTTTGTTTCGCCTCTCGCAGTCTGCTCCAAAATCCACTTAAATGGAGCTCGCAAAGGCCAAGCCCAGAAAGTCGCCACAAAGTCGTTCCACATGTGTGAAGAGGTGTCTGGGCCGCAGTTACTCACCCAACACCCAGATTCCATATCCCCAGAGTCATGCTTTAAAATAAAGCAGTGCGGCCTGCAAAAAAACGCTCCAATTTGTCACTTTTTTTTATTAGGGTTAACATTTTAAGAGGTTCCTCTTAGAAATACTCTTATTTAGGGGAAGTATTTTGGAGGAAACTTTATCAGAAATCTTTTTTAAGAATAATATGACATATTTTACATATTTTCTTAAGTGAAACATATTACATTTCATAAATGTTTCCCAACAAGAGTAACCAAAACTCGTATAGGCCTTTTAATCTCCTTATTAAAAGACGACAGAAGAGAAGCCGAGCAGATCGCACAATTGTCATTAGTATCTTTTTGAGGAAAAGCCGCCGACACGGACTGCAGATACTGAACGGACACCCCGACAGACGGACAAAAAGTGAAGCACGCGCTCTTAACAAATTGGGCTACGAATTTATGCGAGCTGGTGGAGAACCGATGACATCACAGGCGAAATATGTGCCCCAAAAAAGGCGCGGCTCCCACTGGAGGGCAAGGCGAGGCAGATGAGCGATGGAATGCAGCCGGCAGATAGAAGGCAAATGTAGAGCGAAGACTTTTGCCGAAAAGGACGTTAAGTGTATCCCATGACGGGATGCAAACTAGTTTCCTCTTAAGCAGAACAAATTACTCAAGAGGATGAGACGCGAGAGATCCCTCCAACTCTGGGAGTTATGCAAATTCCATTGCCGTGTGATTTATGCCAAGACGAGGCCTGTCTTTGCATAAAACTGAGGCAAATGAAATTAGCAGTCCGGTTATTGTCCTTGCCAGGATGCTGACACCTTTATGAAGTGTCAAAGTCAAGAGCCAGGAGCGAGTTCATTAATTTGACATGATCCGTGATCTTGAAGTGTTCAAAAGCTAAACGCATATGGGACACACTTTGAGTTCCGATTTGAATTCACATTCAATGCTCACTGTTTATACACATAATTGTTGCATAATAAGTTCATTAATCAAAGCTGCTTGGCTGTCACTCTATGGGAGTCATGCGGAAGAGTCCTGTCTCGTAGGGGATGGTAGCAGTTCCGACATTGCTAATGGTTCAAGATGATGTTTTGATGCATTCCGCTTTAGGTTCCCCCTCCTTCCCTTTCAGAATAAACAATAAAAAACGCTTTTCAACATTTTAGCATCTGCCTTCATTTGTAATCATTTGTTGTTTCCTTTTTTTAAGGAAGTACTTGAGCAGCTTGAGTGAAAAGGGTTAAAAAAATTTGTTTTAATTTTTATTTTTTTTAATTCGAAAATTTTTTAAACTAACCATATTTATTACAAACTCATAGATTTATTACAAAAATTAATAGTTACAACGATTGGGAGAGGGCGGAAGGTTACCTGGTAGAAGACGCAAAATAACCAGAAGCTACAGCAGAAGCAACATCATCTGGCAGTGGCAAAAATATGTCCATGTTCCGTATTCCTCACTCCGTCTCTTTCTCTGGCCAACAAGCCATCTCTATCTGATGCCATGCAATGTGCAATTCTAAAAATTGAATTATTCATGGCGATTGTACGACAATCAATTGAAATTGAAATAAAATGCTGCCTGCCAGTTGTTGACGATGTTGTTGTTGTTTGAGGTTGCTGTTGCTACTGTTGCTTCTAGTTTTGTTGTTGTAGATTTCGCTACCGCCTTTGACATGTGCGCAGATTTCAGATTATTTTTTTGTATTTCTCTTTTTTTTTTGGCTCGATTTGGCTTGCGTTCGATCAATTGAAATTGTGATTTAAAGTATCTGTATCTAGATCGATTTGGCATCGATCGAATGTCTCCAAATGTCTTCAATTCTTGGGCATGCCACAGCCTCGCAGTCAACAGAAGGAGATTTGTCGCCTATTTTGTTTGTGCCATGCTATGATTTCTTTTGGGTTTGCCTCTGTTTATTTTTGGCCAGGCACAATTTGTATTATGGCCATGTTAGTGCACAGATCAGACCTGTTTAAGTGTTTAGCAATCTGGCTCTGGTGAGTGTTTTTGGACTCTTAAGTGGATAGACTTAAAAAAAAATGAATGAATTAAACTAAATTTCCATCTGATATATATATCCCGTCTGGAGTCTATAATTTGAGACAGATTGCGCTCTAATAAATATGAGCAGACATCAAAGCTAATGCTTCAACTCATCACCGGGAGATGAGCACGCGAGCAGGCCAGATAGCTAGATAACCAGATAGCCACAAAGCTGTTGCCAAGGCCCAAACTTAATTAAAAATTGCCAGAGAGAAGAGATGGGAGATTTGCCTGCGAGCAGAAGAAATGTTAATATGATGACAAAAATTGCAAACGCCAGGAGCTCCGAGCCGAGCCGGTGGCAGATTATGACGACAACGATGCTGACAGGCCGGGACCAGGCAGCAGAAGAAACTATACTGCCACTGCCACTGCCACTGAAACCAACCAGATTCGGAGTCGGACTATCCGTTCCAGTTCATGGCTAAATGCTGCTCGTGCTGTGATAAATTACACGTCATTTTGGAGTGTTGCGCTTCCTTGTTACTCCGTCAAGTGGTGTTGACACGGCCCCGGCCAGTGCAGGGTATTAGACGATCTTTGCAATGCTAGCTAGTCTTTCCTCCCTCCAGTGGTGTTATTAAAATGAAATCATCATCATCACGAAGTGACAGAAACCGCGAGAGTGGCCGGGCAGAAATGGAGAAAGACTGGAGGCCCACTTGAGGTTGTGGCATTTGAGCACGAAGTCAGACATCTGATCATGCTTATGACAAGAGAATTCAATTAGATATATGGAAGCGCGTAGATTGTTCTACAGGAATCCACTTTAAACTAGGAAGTATTATCCATGATAGGTTGTTCTACAGTTTGAAAAGTAAAATAAAATCATTTTTACTGAATAAACTCTGTAAGATAGTCACTACTAAGCTGCACACTGTATTTCCATTAAAAAAGAAACGAAAAATTCCATTTTATACCATAAAAAATACCAAATACCAAAAAGAAAACAAAAGACTTAAGCAACAAACTTGATTTCACCATTTTGCTGTAAAAGCTGAACAAGCAACAAATTTCGAATGATGTCTCGAGGATTTCTCTCAATGTTTATTTACACTGATCGCCGGGCATTAAGTGCCCACCTCCTTGCCACATTAGTCGTCCAATGCGCGTCCAAATGGATGCACATGCACAATGAAAACAAACCAAATCCAACACTCTCGCGCACTCGATCCACTCAATACACTCAAATAGTAACAGTATCGTGTGTAAAGTCAAACGGGGGTAATACCAAAAACAAAAAATAAATAAAAAGAGCAACAAATAACAAACAACAACCAACAGCCAACCGCATCGAGACAATATTCAATGAAAACGAACGAAACGTTTTCAGATCGTGCCGCTGGAAACAGCCAACCAGAGTTCAGCTGGAAGACGCACACCTGGCCAGGTGTGAGCAGAGAGGCCATAGCAGAGAGAGCCAGTCCAAGATTACAACAACAACCCAACAAAGACGATCCAAGCGAACATGTTTGAAGTGAAGTTGGTAACAGAGAGCACTGAGAAAAAATAGGGTGTGGTTTTATCTGCAGGGCTTATAAATTTTATTATTTTGTGGTTAATTGTTCTTCTAATACACAGAATATTTAATATAAAGAGTTCTCTTAGCAACGCCCCAATTATAACTCCTTTTTAATATTTTATATTATATTTTATGCCTTACTCCGAACCAAGTTAACAGAGCCAGCCTTAACAACCGGCATAGCAGCAGCAGCTGTTCGCAAAGCAGGAATTCCTGTTGCTGCCACGGCGGCTGATTAACAGTTAAGTTTCGCCTTGCCGCTCTAGACGCGTGCGCTTTGTTGTTTCGGCTGCCGCGGATGCTGCTGCTGTTGCTGCCGTGGATGTTGCTGCTGCTGCTGCTGATGTTGCTGCTGGGATGAGATGATCTTTGAGGCCACGGCCAGGCCTCGAACAGTCCGAGTCGGTTTGGCGCTCAGAACGTCGATGGCGATTTAGTCTCGGATGGACGCTACGCCGCCAAGCATCGTCAGGCTTCGCTGCTCTCCCGCGAATCGGAATCGAAATCAGTATCTTGTTATTATAACTGATCGCGAACTTCTTCGGCATCGGATCGGCGATGAAATGAGCGCGAAGAGATAGCTGCAAGAGCCGTCGGCTAAATCGAATTAAATTGTGGAATGTGATTTCTATACATGATATGATCAATTGATAGTCAAGCATAAATCCTTAAGTGTGTGAAGTTACGAAAAAATTAACAAAACAAATACAAACAAACCAACAAATAAAACAGTGCTTTTTTAAGAAAACAATAATTTATGTAGTTTGGAAAATAATAACTTAATACGAAAGGTAAGTTTATTTCTTTCTAATAAAAAAGGAAAACACTACCCATTCTATCATTTAAAATTGTCAACAAATTAATCAATGTTTGAAAAATGTAAAAAAAACCTTAAAGCAGAAAAGAATATATTAATAAAACATTTAATTGACAGCGTTTTGCATAATTAGCATAAATAACTTTAACAAAGCAGCCGATCAGAAGACAGATAATATTGTTAGCTAAATCTCTATTTAAATAAAATATATCCCTAAAAATATAAATTAAATAAAAGCATTAATCAAATGAAACTCAAGACCAAAAAATACAGATAATTTGAATAATTGCAATGTTTGCAATAGGAATTATCGTATTTACTTTCTAATCATGGGCAAGCTCAAGTCCCAAGGGCTCGTACTTGCCGCCAAGGATGGATGGCCAAGGATAGCCAGAAAAAGTGGACACTGGCGAAAACAAAGGAAGCTCATTGACATGCTCATTAATAATGTTATTGCCTTTTGTGCGATAAGTGTCAAGAAATTACTACAATAGGGGCAGAGAATGGACAAAGTTGGGAGATATTCAAACATTTAATTGTCCAACTGCTGTCGGCAATCAAGCAGAAAAGGGCCAAAGGCAGCAGCCCTTCTGGCCTGCAGACTAGATCGTGGATCCTCCATCGGCATCCTCCGCGGATCGAGGAAGAAGACAATTCAAACTAGAGCGTGTGACTGCTGAGTGGATTTGCATATTGCGAATGTCCGTCTCCAGTGGCTCGGCAGGGCTAATAATAAAGCATATTACCGGCAATTGTCTGCCGCGATCGGTGGCGAACAAGAAGAGATTCCACTCTGTGTGTGTGTGTGTGTCAATGCTCCAGGGTTAGATGGACCCTCGAGCTTTGTGGATGCTGGGTTCTTGATTCTTGTTCTATTTTGTAGCGGCTTCAAAATATTTGAGACAATCGTGGTTTGCTTGTTTGAACACCTTTTCTCCCTCTGTTGCCTTTTATCTGATTTGGCATTGTCCATCATTTTGTTTGCTTTAAAGGACACATTTTTTTCATACCCATGCTTGCATGCATATATGTAGATTTTTTTGGGCCCTTCTTTATTATTCTTATTGAGGAAAATCCTTCCACTTTTTCCAATTTTTTTCGTCTGTCAACAGCAACTTGATGAGCTTGTTGAGAATGTAGCTACATTCATCTGATCTGGTTCTTATTGTCTAAGCCGCTGGCTGCTCTGAATACTAGTCCCCCCCATCAAGTTCATCTCAGGGTAAAAAAAATTTTGTAGATTTCCAGAGATTAGATCTGAACAATCATCCACTTGGCTTACGACCAATGAATAGTTTTTGTAGCAGATTAGGTTTCTAATTAATTGTTTGTACCGGCTCGATGTGTAACATTAATCTTGGCTTAATCGATAAGCCTGTCAGGCCAGAGATCGCTTCTATTCCCCGATCTGTCCAGTTCGATATACTTATAAGTTTGAACAATGGGAAGTCTAGTATGAAATTTGAAAGGCTTTTGACTTGGCCAAATACTCCTTCCTTCTGTTGGGTACATTGTTTTCCCACAATCAAATCTGGTCATCGAACTAAATAAATACAACGATCACATTCACCTTTCGCAGTGGGGCTTGCCCGGAGGACTTTTAATTAGCTCGTGGTATGTCCTGCTTCATGACTTTAATTTAGTCGAAGGAGGGGACTGGATATTGAAGACACTCCAGGTATTAGACAAGTTTGCGTCCGGCTAACTGGAATGACGGCCTTGGTCGGTGTCGTGATATCGCCAAAAGGATAGAAATCTTCAACTTTATCGCTCAAGCGTGCCGTTCGATTGCATTTCTTTCGGGTTTCTTAAAAAGGATCGTAATGATTTGGGAAATTTTTTCATTTATAATGGAAGATAAGCAGAGACAGGTTTTATTTATTTTGGTTTATGTACATATTTAAATAGTAAATCTGATTGCAAATCGCATTTTATAGTTTATTATTAAATATTTTATTTGTCTAAAATATCATTATAAATGTGACTTTCCATATTCTATATAAAATCGATTGACTGTCGTTACTATAGACCCCGACCTTCTTGGATTTCTGCATTGCTGCCAAGAGCATTGTTTATAAATCCATTGCCCTAAGACTCCCCCATTCAGTGGCTTCCTTCACAGTCAAGATTATCGCCATAACGTTCGTTTCTGGGTCTTGGAGGTTCTTCTCGGAGGAGGTTGACGTTTCTTTTTTTCGGTTCCAACCAGTGGCTGGCTGGCAGCGATTGAAGATCTCCTTTGGCTGGAGCTCGGCTTGATGGTTTTCCCGCTTTCTGGAAAAGCGCACCGCTGTGCCGAAAATTGTCACGGTTTCGCGGTCGCCTGGCTCACTCGCTGTGAAGGTGCAAATTTAATGTTTGCCAATTTAGCAACGCTCTGCTGTCACCTTTGGTGTCCATTAGCGAGCGTTTATATGCAAAGTGCCGAGCATTGGCAGGCCGGCAGAACCCCGGCAGCCTGCAGAGGGAAGCTGGGGACCCGGGATGGCTGCTAACCATTATCACAGGAGCAGCATCACGTTGTGGCACCACCACCTGCTGGGCACATTTTGCGGAGCAGCTCCCTGCCCCTGTCAGCCCTGGTCGCGCCAAATATTTTCCAGATACAAACACCTTGGCTAGCACTTAACATAAATGGGAGGGAGTCCCAGTTCTCAGGAAGATTCTAGTCTGTATAAAATGCTTGAATATGAGAACAAAGGAACTCTGCCAGTAGTTGATTGATTAATTACATTTTTTAGTAAAATATTTAACCTGCAAGCATGTGGCTGACCTTAATATTTACATCTTAATATAAAGTACAAATGCTATCAGAATAGTGTAAACAGTTTCTAAGCCCATGGCCAAAATGGTGGTATAATTAATTACAAAAATCTTATTAAAATTCCAAATCAACTATGCAGAATCTATACTTAGTTAGCCAAAAAATGTAACCAATTTGTATATTTTAAATTACGTCTTCATGTTTGGTGTTGACCACATAAAAATAGCAGTTTATTGAACAAGTATAACCAACAATTGCACCCAACCGCCATTTGACCTTACACGATTCGCTATAAAATCACATAATTTATACCCCGTTTCAGCTTTTTGAATACCTTTTTCCCATACGCCCCATATTCCCCGAAATGTGACTACAAAAAATCGCCACGCCATTTATTAGCACACACATTTTGTGTGTCAAAGAATTTATATTGTATATCCATGACGAAATTGATCCCTCCCTCGGATTCTTCATGCTCATTAAATAGTTGACGCAGAATTTTCGCAAAAGTAGATATTTTATATGCGTTTCGCTGTAGCTTTTTTTCGCCTGACCTTAGGCTTTATGGGCAGGCAAAACAAGTCACTATAGTAGGTACATTGCATTAGATGTGCGAATGCTAGGTTCTCTGGGAAAAGGAGTGACAGAGACAACAGCGGCCACAAGGCTGGGCAACGGAGACGGGAAGGCTGAGCCGAGGTGCAGGGTCTGAAACTTTGATGGTGCAAGCCCAAACCGGTCGTTGCATACCTCAATTTCTATCCACGACCTGTAGCAAAATAAAAAAACAAAATTCCGCTAAAAAAAAAAAAAAGAATAAAAATAAAGAGAAACGCAGTGGGTCATCGGTTATGCATGTTTTTGTTGTTGCCGTTGCAGCAGCTCTTCTTCTTTTTCTTCAACTTTTTGGCGTGGCTTTCGTGGCCATGGCCCCTTCTTCCACAGCTTCTTCCACAGCCTGCCACAGCTGAGTCGAGAGTCAATGTGTTGGACCGCTATAAAAAAAAAAAAAGATTTAAGAAAAAAATAAGAAAAATAATCTGTGAAAAAAGGCATCATCAATAACAAGGACAATCGTGAAGAAGTTGCCAAAGTTGGACTTTTTCAATTAGGCTGTCAGCAACACGTTTTAAGCCCAGCCAAGAGTTATGTACAAGTACAATGGGTTTATCAGATAGCTATTCCAAATATTAGCGAGGATTTCATTTTTTTTACAAAAAAATTGAGAGACTATAGACTATAATCGACAGAGATTCTTTCAACTTGTGACCTTATATATAATTTTTTTTAATCCTTTACAGATGAACCAGCTGTGCAAAGTGTGTGGCGAGCCGGCGGCGGGTTTTCATTTCGGGGCATTCACATGCGAGGGCTGTAAGGTGAGTTTCAATATTATGGGAATCTATCAACCCAAATCGAATTTTTATAGTGCTTAATCCCCAGAGTTGTGAGAAACCTGAAAGATTCCATTTCGCACATTACCAAGATAGACAAAAAAATGTGCAAAAAATGATCTCGATTTTGGCTTTTACTTTTAGCGCGAAGCAAAATCGGAAATGTTATTACTATAATTAAAATTCAATTCGGTAGATTAATCGATTTTTAATTGACTTTAAGTAGATACGTGTGCGCAGCCGACACAATAAAGGCTCACCTTCAAATAGCATGGGAAAATGTCTGAGAAATTTAGAGCATTTCAAAGGGAGAGGGGCGTAGCTGCCCCTCTTGGTATATAGAGCTAGGTAAGCCCCAAGGCGAGCACAATTGTAAACTGCAGTCAATCAAATAAAAATTACATGCATATTAGATGAGTCAGCGCAATCGAAAACAAAAGTTCCAGACACCCATCAAACTCCACTCAAAGTTGAACTTCAAAATCGTCTCAACCATGAGTTGGCATGGCTCCAAAACAATGAAAATCAGCTGTGATACAGTGGAGCTATACTTTTTCCCATTCTTCTCGTTTGACGTCTGCTCCACAATAAGCTTTACTAGTAGTTGGTCAAATTATCCACGCACATTTTGTAATTGAGGCAAGTTCGAGAGGTGGGAAGTGTGCCGCCGACAGGTGCGAATAGGTAGAATAGTTTGAGTGGCGATGTGTATTTTTAATTAATAACTAACTTTATTTCCGACCTATCCTTTCCAGTCCTTCTTTGGTCGCACTTACAACAACATTGCGGCAATCGCAGGCTGCAAGCACAACGGTGACTGTGTGATCAACAAAAAGAACCGCACGGCCTGCAAGGCGTGCCGCTTGCGGAAGTGCCTCCTTGTGGGGATGTCTAAGAGCGGATCCCGCTACGGTCGTCGCTCCAACTGGTTCAAAATCCATTGCCTGCTGCAGGAGCAGCAGACTACGACGGGAACTGGAGGAGGGAACGGACCAGGCGGTGGGCCCGGCGGAGTAAGCAGCGCAAGTCTGGAGCAACTGGCGCGTCTGCAGCAGGCGAGCAATCAGGCGAGGCAAACCTACCAGGACAAAACAAATCCCTGCATCAAGTCAGCCACGGCCACTTCTCCGCGGGTGGATGGGTCTGCCGGCGGGGTGGGAGTAGGCGGGGCATCTTCGCCGTCTTTTCTGCAGGCGGCGAAGTTTCATCACCACCATCAACGCCAGTTGAAACTGGAATCCCGCCTCAGTAATACACCAAGCGATTCGGGGGCCTCGTCGGCAGGTGATCCCAACGAGGACGGAGCCACGAGCGTGCTGAGTGGTCACACCAACACAACCACCGCCACACCCACCGCCGCTGCCACAAATCTCCCCCGCCTAGATCTGAGAAATACCACCTTTCCGGCAAGCTCGGAACCGGATGGAGACCTGCAACGCCAGCGCCACCAGGAGCTACTTGAGATATTTCGCAGCCACTCAGAACCACTGTACAGCTCCTTTGCCCCTTTCAGCCACCTGCCACCCGTACTCCTGGCCGCCGGCGTTCCTCCGCTGCCCATTTTCAAGGATCAGTTCAAGGCGGAGCTCCTGTATCCGGCCACCAGCAGTCCAGAGCTGGACGAACCCATTGATCTATCTCTGAGATCGCGTACAGACACCACCAGTCCTCTGGCCGGCGGTTCCAACAGTCCCAGTCTGAGCGAGCCGGCTGCGGGGAGTCACTGCTTGGGGGAATCCCCGACCTTTGTGCGCAAGACCACGCCCCTGGATCTCACTCTGGTGAGGTCACAAACCCTGACGGGCTAAGGGTCCAAGGATGTCTTATGATTGCCAGAGAATTCGTTCGAGTGCCAAAACAATTTCACGTACTTTAGGATTAGATATGTAAAAATTAGATAATTGGATAAAAAATTTCAGATATTTTGTGAAAAGTGCAACCAAATATATTCTATTGCATCTTTTGCTCAAATTTTTGTTTAACATCCAAATTTGACGTCTTTAAAAAACAGTCTCAGTTACCCAAAAATTAATGGGTAAAAGCAAACATGTAACAATTGAAAAATTTTGGTGCCAGTGAAATCATGTACAAATATCCCTATGAATACGATTTATATTAGCTCAATTTAAGTTAATAAGTTCTGAATAAAAAATAATAAGGCATATAAACAGTACATTATAATATTTAGCCAAATTTACAAATGACTGTCAATTGATATAGCGACAAAATCATTTATATTTATATTGTTTTCTTAATTTATTTGTAAAATCTGTAATTAGACATCTAAGATTTTTAATTTAAAGTGTTGTTTTTGTATTGGCTTTTTGTTTGTTTTATTAATTTTAAATAATTTATTTCCTTAACCATTTAAGAAGAGGATAAAATGTAAAAGATGAAATAAAATAAAAGCAAAAAGAAAGTGAAGGAAAACTAATTGAATTGACCATTTTAAGATATTCATTGTCAATTTATGTAGAGTATTTTGCTCAGCTGTCTCTTTTGGCTTTCCTCCAGGGACTGACTTGAAATGCTCCATTCCATTGACACATGACCAAACTTTTGCCAGTCCATATACAGTGGAAATTTGTTCAATATACAAGTGCATATTGCCAGATATATATGTTTTCTCAATTCGTATTCAACTGTCACGATGTCAGTGTTTACGTGTATATCCATCAAGGGGCGCACAGAAAATCCTGGCCAGTCGATGCGTTATTCATTACATAACAGTGCGGGCTGACATATTTCCAAATGTCAGGCTACCTAGATGTTGACTATATAAATGTAATTATGACAGTCCAAGACAGATGACACAAGTTTATATCAACTCGACGGGAGAGCAAAGACTCGAAAGGCAAAAAAAAGAAAACAAAACAAATGACTTAGGAAACGAACGCGATCTGGAGTTCGGCGGGAAAAGTGTGCGTGTGCGTAAGTATTTATCTTACTTCTTATTGAACTTTTTTTTTTATTTATTTTTATTAATAACAATTTGTTTCTAACTTCTCTTTTTTAACTCGAATTTTTATATAAATATAAGACTTAAGAAACGAACTTTTAACTAATCTAAAATATAATAGTTAGATAATGGATAAAAAATGAATGAAAAGTTTACATTTTAAGCAGAATATTAATTCCATTTTAAGCCTATATCATTGTTGAGAAAGCAAAAGCAAAACTTAAACAATTTTTAAATTGAAATATGATGATGAAAAGTTCATCAAAAGTCTATTTATTCACAAAATTAAAAAATGTTATGACCATTTTCGAAATAGAAAAATATTTATACCTCGGTTAAAATTTGTCAGATCCAGATCCCTTAGGAGAACTAGCTAAGAAAACCTTAAATAATACACATTATATTTAATGGGTGTTAAATTATTATACATATATGTATGGGTGTTAACTGACTCTTATTTATGTTCCCGTATTGGTCATATTCTCACACCTGGAAATGGGTCTTACCGTAAAATCACCAACCATTATAGGCCGCAACCCCATATGCATATTTTTTGTGTTGCCTGCCCATCTTTGTTGATTTATACACCTTAAACACTTCATTCCACTTCCACTTGCCCATCACTCACACCCCAAACCGGGCACATATTATATGTACGTGGACATAACTCTGTTGATTGGCTGCTAAACTCTCGACTGCCAATTCACACGTCTATTCGATGGGTCTCTATGTTTGTCGGTGTGTTTGCATCCAAGTGTGTGCGAGAGTATCTTTCGAAGCGAACACGCCCCCAGAGAGCGGCGAGACAAAGTGAGATACAAAGCTGAATAATCGCACGACACACGCACAATTAGCTGCGCCAACAGTAGCCGCTAAGCAGAAATAATGCCTCGAACTGAAATGAACATGGAACGCGGTACTGGGAGCCTGGTGCCGGGAGCTACATAGGACCTGGGATCTGGCAGCCAGAAGATCGTGAGCATAAAACATCGACTCGCGTGCTCAATATGCCTTTAAAATGCATTTATGCACATCCTCCGATTTGAGGGGGCATCTTGGGGGGCTGGACTACTCGCAGACCCACTTGTAGATGCTTGTTGCAGATACTTTCGCAATGAGTTTTATTGGTGTCGCAGATAGAAATCTTTTGGGGCGATACAAAGGTTTACAGTACGCTCAAATATATTAGGTATGTATTATTTACGCTTTAAATTCCATAAAATCCCCAGACCACCCACCTCAATTCCCAACTTATGTAATACAATACTTTGGACCAATAATAATCATAACATTTTGTGACGATTTACGACGGCTGAACTTGAAGCATTCAATAAAATGATAAAAATAAATAAATCTATGGCACGGAGAAAATGAAATCAGTTTACAATCCGATCCAGACTCGGCGGGCGAGCATTTACAAACAATGAAATTCAATGCAATAATTCAAGATTCAATTGAATTTTAAGTACGCCCAGACCCAGACCATAGCTTCCTTTCTGATCTGTAACTAGAGACTGACGATAAGCTAAGGCCAACTGACTGTCAGTCAGTCAGTTAGGCAGTCAGTCAGTCCGCCGACGGCAATCCATCTCATCCCTGTACCTCCGTCTTTGTGTCATTTCGGCTGTGTGTCGCGCACGCGCATAAACTTTTTAGCTTGGAGATTGAACAATCGAAGGCGTCGTCTCATGGAGTCAGTGAGATTTTTAATATGGAATTGGCCTCAAAACGGCTTTTATTAAGCAGCTAAAGAAGTGTTACACTTTTGAAACAAGCAGAATTTTAAACACACACAGAAACTTTTATTACGTAAATACTTTATTTAATTGTATACGCTTTCTAACAAAAGCAATTGTAAAGAAAAACTTAAGAATTAACCTTTCATTTCTCACTTTTTTGCATATCTAACTTTAAAACACTTCTCCCCTTGAAGATCCGTTTAAGAGCAAGCGGACACAAGACACCAAAACACCCATCACCTTGCCACAGTGAAATCGCTGAAAGATCAGCAACAAAACGGTGCAACAAGAGTTCAGAGTTGTCAATAAAAATTAATTGCAATTTTATTGCCACAGAAGGCAGCTCCTGCATACAAAGTACTCGATACGCATGGCACTTGAATGCTCTGCAACCAGAAAAAGATACTTCGATTTTCAAAGAAGTTTGTACTCGTTTTACAATATTGAACCATATAGTAAGATCTAAAAATATATGAAGCTTAAGAAAATGAAAAATTAAAAAAGCATCTTTGTTATTCAATATTTTTAAAATACATTTTTGTGCGAAGAGTATTTAAATGTCTTTAAAAATGGTTTAAAACACAGCATACATTGTTGGCTTCCCGCTCAATGATTCAAGTGACCTAATTTCGCGAGCCAACACAAAAAGCAAATCAAAATTAATTCAATTTTGAGGCGATGATGCTGCAAGCACTTTAAATGTTAAAAAAATGCTCAACACGTGCGTTCCAAAACGAGATCAGCGGACAACCAGTCGTAAACTGGGCCCATAAAGGAAACTACCTCAAAAGTAGCTGGTAAGAGTTTTTGAATTGTTTTCGGGGAGTACCCCAAAAGTATGCTTCTTAATTTAACTTAATTTAATTTTAATATTCAATAAAACTAAACTAAACTAAGGGAAATAATATATTCAATATTCTATACAAAAATCATACTTTTCTTATAATCCAAAAGCTTTTTAACTATTACTTGCTAACAGCTTAACCATTTATAATTTATATTATCGCATGATAAAAAGTCTAGTTACGTGTAGGGCTATTTTTATACTTATTAAAAAAGATTAAATTCATTTAATAACAAATAATTGTTCATTTAATAACTCTAATTTAATTAAATAATTTAAAAATAATATTTCAGTAACGGCTAAATGTTGAGTAAGACCAAACTTTGTTAAAACCATATATGGTATTTTATTTTTGCCGTCAAAAAAAGTCCCTCATCTGGTAACACTCTACCGGCTCTTATAAACAAATCTATTTATTGCTTGGATTACAACTGATATGCCCCAACATGTATCCTGTTAGCTCACAAAAGAGATCCTGGACTTTTGCCAATGAGGGGCAGTTGATGGCATTCCGCGTGGAGCAAAACCACAAGTACATCGAGGAACATGAGGAGGAGGTACAAGGAGGTGACTTGGAAGAGTACTTCTTGACACCGGCCGAGGAGCGCCTGTTGCTAAAGCAATATGAAATATACCTTTTCGATTTCTGCCGTCGGTTTGAGCCGCAAATGCCGAAGTGCGTGGTGGGCACAGCATTTCACTATTTCAAGCGGTTCTACCTTAACAACACACCGATGGACTATCATCCCAAGGAGATTCTGTAAACACTACCTTTTCAAATATTATTTCTTTTATATTTTAACATGTTTTCTATTTCCCCTTAAAGAGCCACCTGCGTGTTTGTGGCCTGCAAAGTGGAAGAGTTTAACGTGTCCATTAATCAGTTTGTTAACAACATCAAGGGCGATCGCAACAAAGCCACAGACATTGTCCTGTCCAATGAATTGCTACTAATAGGACAACTCAACTACTACCTCACTATACACAATCCGTTCAGACCCATCGAAGGGTTCCTTATAGACATTAAGGTTTGTTTACAACTCTTTCTTGTAATATCTGCTTTATTTTACATATTCTCCTTGTAGACTCGAAGCAATATGCCAAATCCGGATCGCCTACGTCCGCATATCGAAACCTTCATAGATTCCACTTTCTACACAGACGCCTGCCTGCTGCACACGCCTTCCCAGATAGGATTAGCAGCGGTTCTGCATGCTGCCAGCCGAGAACAGGAGAATCTCGATAGCTACGTCACTGATCTTCTATTTGTAGATGCTCGGGATAAGCTACCCGGTCTAATTGATGCCGTGAGAAGTAAGTTAGAGTTAAAAAAAATGAAGAATTTGTAGTAATCCATTTTATTATAGAGATTCGTATATTAGTGAAGCAATACCAACAGCCTGATCGAGATCAAGTCAAAGCTATTGAAAGAAAATTAGATAAGTGCCGCAATCAGGCCAACAACCCGGATAGTGAACTGTAAGTTAAGAGAATAAATTGTCTCTTAATGTTTTATTGTTTAATTTTTTATCAAATATTAGCTATAAGGAGCGTCTACGTCGTTTGTACACCGATGAGGATGATATGCCCGCCGAAGATGCTTCATTCCACATTGCCGATGTGAGTTCCGATACATCCGCCATGAATATAAGTCAGTAGACTATCAAAAGTTACGAGAATTTTATAAGTTGAATATTGGATTAAAATAAAATATTATATTGAAATAAAAACAGTTTTTCAATCGAATTTATGATCCAAATTTGAATTATGCCGCCATAGAATCTTCTCCAAGAAATGTTGTCCCATTAATGGTATTTCTTGCTTAGAATATACGGTCACTTTGCATACCCAACTGAAAACAAAATAACACATCTTGAAACAAAAATAATAACAAGCAGGATAGCATAACAATGCAGGACATTTTTCCATCCTTAGATGGCTTTGGCCTTCCAGGAAACTACTCCATTGCGTTAACTACGCTGTTGCTATGCGTTTTGGCGGCACTTTATTTTGCCAACTTTTTCAAGGACAAAACCGTAGGTGTTGCAAGGAATAAGTTTCTAATTTCGGTTAAAATATAGGCTCTTCGGTTACAGGATATGGAGGATGAGGGGCTGGGAACTGATGAGCCAAGAGAGGAGGATAGCCAAGAGCTGACATCTCCATTAGACGAAGAAACCGATGATGATGAAGCCTACGGGGAGGATACCAGCGATAGCGATTTGGAATTTATTGATGAGCAAGAAGAGCAGCTCCCACAGAAATCGGGACAAAACTATCCCAACATGATGGGCCAGCTTAAGGCCAAACAGTTTCAGGAGAAGCTTGTGAACACCCTAACTCCCATTCAAATCGAGGAGGAGCGTCGGATTGAGCGGGAGCAGCTGGCTGCTATTTTTGAGCTACTCCGGAAACAGGAGTCGGAGCTAAATCTCCAGGACCGCATCAGCGACAAGGATCTCAAGGAACAGGTCCGGCTCTACCGCTAAGTTGGGAGGGAATCGAATGTTAGGCTTACCTGAATGTGAAAGTTTGTGTGATCTATAAGTTAAACGTCCCTGTTACACTGTGTTTTTAGTATTCTAGGATCGAAAGGAAGAACTATGTATTTAAAATTTCTTAATGTATTGTCTCACAATTAAGTGCGATTTAGTTAAGCTAATAGGTATAAGTTATAAGAATTACTTGTTCTTTTTTGTTAATATTTTGAAATAATTAGCATTTCTTTTAGTCCTCAAAGTATTCTGTAATAATCTAACTACTTATTTGCCAAATACTTTCCATTGAAATATAGTCGTAGATGCTTTTATGGGAGTTTTTAACATAAAGAATGGAATTTAAAAAATGTATTTTTATTACAAAAAAATTAAACAATATTTTTATTCCTGAAGCTTTATTAAAAACAGTACAAAGATTACTCCCTATTGGAAATATTAGTCCCCTTGTCCACTATTTAAAAATGTCCTTTTAAAGTTTAATGACCATCACACGGCAATGGGTGTGAGGAGGCTTTGGTGTAAAAACAGGACGTCCCTGACTGTCCTTGTAGTCGGCATAGGCCACAGCGTGGATGCACTCCATCCCCAAGGCCTCCTTTTGACGGGCGGAATAAAAGCTGGTGCAGTAGGCCACCATCAGAGGGAATCCCTTAGAGCGACCGACTTCCATCAGAGTGGCGGCTAACCTCGAGCCCAGACCCCTGCCCCTGGTAGATTCATCCACACTAGTGATGTGAGAGTAGAGTACTTTGGAGACTCCGAACCGCTCGAAAAGATTGGCTTCGCGTTCGACCTTCGACAGCAATCGGCAGATGCGACCCCAAGCATGCTGTTCGAGTTCCTCCGCTTCCTGGCGATGTTTTTCAACGTCCTCGGGGTACTGGGCTCCGGCTAGAACAAAACCTACCACTCGACCGTCACGGCTGTCGTCAGTAGCCAACAGACAGGTACCCTGAGCGATCATAGAGAGGTAGTACTCGTCGTTGTCCTTCTCGTTTTGTAGATGCACCGGCTCGCCAGTGGACTGGGACAGAGGCTCGGCCGTGAAGAACTCCTCTCGCATGAATGGTTTCACCGAATCGTAGTCCTTCTCCGTCATGATACGGATACTAATACCGTCTTTCGTGTTCAAAGCCATGTCGGATGTCGTGTTCAATGGCAACTGATTCGATTCTTCGTCAGGCCATGGACATTTTCTTTTATAAGTGGAAGTTATCTAGCGCCTATTTACTTTATAAAAAAATGGTGATAACTGCGATAGCTGGTTTGAAAACAATTTTAATCTTTGAAGATTTATTCCCCGGAGTACTTTCTGCAGATAAGACTTGGATCTATGTAATAAATTTTAAATTGGGCGCTAAACATGACATAGTAACGATTGATAATAGTCACCCACATTATACAATTATATAAGGTAGTCCATTCCACTGACATATCGTTCGGGTTTGGTCCCTTAATTTTAAACTGTCAAACTGAAAGGTGATTTTTTTTTTCAAAACTTTAACCTTTTAGTGGCCAAGCAAAAAAAATGACTGTGACCTTACTATGTTAAAATTAAAATAAGGGACTTAAGTCAACGAATGGACTACCTTATATAATTGTATCATGGTCACCCAGTTTTCAATCTTCCATACATTGTATTATCATCCTAGCAACCATTGCCTCCTATGGCAACTGACATTGTTTATTCCAACACCTGCCTCCAGCTCGGTTTTCCATTCGAAGCCCCGACTAGAAGCCAGTTGGTCCTGAAACTAAGTTTTTATTGAAAAAATTAGATTGTAAAAAAATACAAAATGGTGAATTTTGTATATCCGGAGGAGTTGTACATGTTCGTGGAGAGCATCCGTCCGTTTGAGATCCGCGACGTGGGCAGCAGCAAGTGGTTGGAGGTGCACGAGATGGTGATCAAGCTGAGCCAGCAAGCGGCTCTGGAGCTGGCCCAGAACCGCGAGGAGGAGGTCAAGGAGTTCCTCATCTCGCGCGATAAGCTGCGTCTGCTGATTCACGAGGCCTACTGCGTGACCCTGTGGAAGACCCGTGTGTTGCCGCATCTCTTGGAGATCGATCCCAATCCCCAGGCCACTTTCCTTATCTACACGGTGCTCTACCACGAGGCTGCAGTCGTGGCCCTTCTGGACGTGTGCCTGTACCATCCAAGTGGCTGTGAGACTTTGCAGGAATCGGTGCTGGATCTGGTGGACTATTGTGCCCAGGCAGTGGCCCAAGTGATCGGGTTGGTCAGCATGGGCTACCATGAGAACGAATCCAAGCTGGATGTGGATGAGGCTGTCCTCACTGAGCTGGAGCGCCAAAAGCGCGACCTCATCTACAAAATCGGCTTGCGATGCATCTCCATTTTAAATTATCTGGCCGACAACATCGAGCTGTTCCACTTGAGTGCCAAACGTCGTATGTTGGTTACCCACGACATTCCCTGGCTCATGGTGGATGTCCTTTGTTTCCGGTAAGGATCTATCTGTTAGTCAATGAATGCTTAGTGATAGGAACCATTCCTTCCAAATCTGTAGTCCCTGGCAGAGAAAGACTAGCAAGGGATTGCAGAAATTCATCGACGAGAAGTGGACCAACGTGGATGACGCTGCCAAGGTTGTCAAGCCAGAGGGCCAGGCTTGGTTCTGTGTGAGGCAACTTCTTCTCAATCCCCAGGCCATGGAGCAATACACTTTGAATGAACCTCGTTGCAAGCAGTTGTACAAGGTGGGTTAGAATCCTTCTCAGCCGAAGCTTTAATCTTATCACCTACCCAACTCCTACAGCTTCTGGGTCTCATGCACGAGACTCTACTGGATCAGTTGCCACCTCTAATCGAGCTGAAGCAGTTCCTCAGCCGACTGACCCTGACAGGGAACTCGGCTTCCAAATCCGAGACTCTGTTGCTGGAGGACATTCCCCAAATTCAAGAGGAGCTAATGAAAGAAGTAGAACGCGATGGGGGTTTCTACCAGATTGCCCAGGCCCAGGATTCAGTCTTCTTGAGCAAGAACAAGGACGACATCTGTGCCTTGGCTACTCGCCTGAGCACCGCCTACGGCACGGAGCAACTTTGCGAACTGGAGAAGGCCCTTGACGAGACAGCCGACAAGGAAGAGCCGGTACCCAGCGACTCGGGTGCCGGCGGGGATGGGGGTTCCACCGAGCACCACTGTGCCACCTGTCAGGCCAAGGCCAAGAAGAAGTGCGCCAACTGCAAGCAGGTGCACTACTGTTCCCGGTGAGTTATATTTTTCATTCCCTCGAAATCAAATCTGACAGGTAATCTCTTGCAGTGACTGCCAGCTCAAGGATTGGCCGCAGCACAAGACGACCTGCATGAAGGAATAATTCCAATTAATTTTCTAATAATTTGTAACCATATTTATCTCGTTTACGTAATAGAAATAGAACATTCCAAAAATGTAAAATCAAAATCGTTTTTTATTTTTTTTTTCAAGTTTCTTACGTTTTTATTTTAATTAGCAAATTAGCGTAAAAAAAACTTTCACGTAGTCTCTCATTCAACAGGCGACAGCCGATTGGCTTAGCTGTTCTGCCTGAGATGGTCCTTAACCACGTCCAAAGCGGGTGTCTCCTCACCGAAATCCTTGATCACAACGACGGAGCAGCCGCACACCTTGCGGGGCTTGCCTTCCTTGTCGATCTTGCACAGGCCGGACCACTCGCCGAGCTTCTTGTGCGAGTCCACGCGGATCAGGGGGATCTGGTGCTCGTTGCACAGGGCGGTGACCAGCTTCTTGTAGTTGGGCTCATCGAAGGACTCGGCCAGGATGCACAGCACTGCCTGACGTCTGGAAAACAAAGAAATCTATTAGTTTCTCTTGTAATACTTAAATATTTGTTTTTTGAAACATGTGCTCAGTAATTGGAAGGTTTTTAATCAATGGAAAATTCATAAACACGGACCAATTAATTTCATCACAGTTTTACGGACAAAGAAACTGTACGAAGATGGCCGGAAACATGGCGGCAAGTCTACCGGTTAATAACCATCTTGATACCCGGGTTTCTGGGAGAACTTACTTGTCCAGAGCCTTGCAGGCCTGGTGGATGCCATGGACGAGTCCATCGGCGATCAGGGACTTCTTCAGGACCTCCTGCAGAGCAGTGTTAATGTCCATGGCGCCATCAAGGACGGGGGCAGCGGAGGGCACATCACTGAAATATCGAAAAGTTCTAATTAGCAACCAAGGGACTTAAATTAAATAAAAAATATGAAACAACCACATCTTGCCTTGCTTTTTTGAAAGTTTTCAGTAATTGGAAAGTTTTTAATCAATGGAAATTCATAAACACGGACCAATTAATTTCATCAACAAAGCGGCATATCAAGCAAGGCAAAAATATAGTTATTTTCATAATATAACAACGACTTACACGTCAACGTCGGCCATTATTCAGCGGTATAGGATGCAGTGCACTGTTTTTAATTGTAAAAAAGTATTAATTATATGAGATGTTATATATTTTACCGAATTAATTCCAGAGAAAATTTGGGTTCGCTCCTCACCTTTTGACAACCGGAAAGAAAGAGAGCGGACGCAGCAGGGAATTTGACAAGCTCTAAAATCCCATCCCTATTTCACACTAGCGCCACATTTGAAAAAAAAAAATACTGAAATTCTGCCAAATAATTAAAGAGAGTTATTTATTTATTTAGAATTAGATTCCGCAAATATTAAGTTTTTCCTAATATATTTTCATTACGATGTACAATTTTATAATTTAAATTATATTGATTCGAATATTTTTCAAAAAATGTCTGTAACACTCTATTGAGAATTTTTAAAATTTTTACTTTACAATTTCAATGTACTTTGATTATTTAATAAAACTAAAGTGCTTATGTATATAAAGAATAAAACAAAACTTCTAAATATTTAAATTGATTTACACAATGATAGAATTCATGGGTTAACTTGGGAAAGAATCGCGCTCGCCGCAGCTGGTCACACTGGGATAAACAAATTGTCCAACCCGCCAGCGACTCGCGCTTCCCACAATAACTGCAGGAATTACCTATAAATATCTGCTCGGCTATTTGTGATTACATAGTTTCCCTCCTGGAGAGCGAGATTATCGAATAGGGGCCGCAACACTGGAACCAAAAGTGCAATAACTTGTTTATGTTTACATAAGAACTAAGCAGAAACTGCAAGAACAACAACCACTATGCCCAACCAGCTACAGTAAGTTATAGTTGTATGTGTTGTGGGTGGTTGTGTAGTTTTTAATAAAAGGAAAAAAGCGAAAAGAAATGTGCCACCATGTGCTCCCGTTCTTATGTCGCACATACAAGCCCACGTTCCTATAATTGCCGAAAATTTACAGAGGCCTGTGAAAATCGTGGGCTTTTGTGTGTCGTCAGCGTGCGCGTGTTATCTAGATTTCTAGACCTGAATGTGTTGCGTTGACCCGTAAGATACGTCAGCGGGGGTCTTCGGAGGGCCATGCCCATGCTATATGAATGAAAGTAATAATGCCGCGTACACATATCCGCTGTCGTGTTCATTGGCTCTTTAATCCGAAAAATTCTACTGATAAGGTGGGCGCATTCTTGTCAACAACTACAAAGGTAGATACTATCGTTGGCGGCATAAACAAGCCCACACTGCCGTCCCAAATAGAGTCTCAAGTCTTAAATTAATAAAATTACTTAATTTTTAATAAATTAAGTCAGTAATGGAAGTCATAGGCCCCCATTTCGTAGTGCCCAACATTTGTACAGGCACCCAGTACCATGGGGGTAAGAGGGCTATCTCTCGGGTTCATCGCCAGCTGATTGCAATCCCAGCGCTGTCGGTTGACTCTGCTGAATGGAATCGTTAATTGGGCATATTAGCTTTAGTCTGGCCCTCAGCCGAGCAACATGTGTGACCGCAACGGCAGCAGCAACGTTAGGTTCTCTATCCAACCACGATGATCGTTTATATTGATGATCTCTTAATAATCCCTGTTTTGGTTTTTGTGCCCGCAGAGAAGGTATCCTTGTGGGATGTGGCAACCCGCTGCTGGACATCTCCGCCATAGTGCCGATGGATTTCCTCCACAAATACTCGATGAACGAGGACGATGCGATCCTGGCTGAGGACCGACACATGCCCATCTACGGCGAGCTGATCGAGAGCTTCCAAGCCGATTTCCTTGCTGGTGGATCCGTGCAAAACTCACTGCGCATCGCCCAGTGGATACTTAAGCAACCCAAGGTGGCCGTTTTCTTTGGCTGCGTCGGCAAGGATCGCTATGCAGAGATTCTCGAGGAGAAGGCGCGTGCCGCCGGTCTGAATGTTCACTATCAGGTGAAGGAGGATGTTCCCACGGGCACCTGCGCCGTTCTCATTACCGGAACGCATCGATCGCTATGCGCGAATCTGGCGGCGGCCAATCACTTTACCATCGACCATCTGGAGGAGCCCTTGAACAAGGCGGTGGTAGAGAATGCGCAGTACTACTACATTTCGGTAAGTCATGAGTTCAGTCTGGAGCCGAAGCCGGAAGTAATAACTTAATGAATTGCTCGGCGGGAAGTAAGTTATAAAAGCAATTGACGAAGCAACTTTTGGAATACCCAAGAATGTGTCTATTCTAGTATGAAATTTAATCTTTTTTTTATGATTTATTTTTAATGACTAAATGGGTAAATATTTTAAATGATATTAGCATTGAGTCAGTGCATCAGCGATTGCACAAAACTTTTCTTTATGATAGTTTCTTTTAATAACCGCATGTCTCTTCCATTTAGGGCTTTTTCCTCACCGTCAACCCGCCGAGTATCATGCAGGTGGCAAAAACAGCGCACACGAAAAACCGACCGTTCCTAATGAACCTCAGCGCACCATTCATATCGCAATACTACATGGCACCGCTGCTGGCCGTCCTGCCGTACGTGGACATCATCTTCGGCAACGAGGCGGAGGCGCAAGCCTTCGCCGAGGCCCAAAGCTGGCCGAGTGGGGATCTGCGAGAGATTGGCAAGCGGCTGGTGGCGTTCGATAAGCTGAATACCTCAAAGCCTCGAATTGCCATTCTCACGCAGGGCTGCGATCCCGTGCTGCTCTTCCAGCAGGACTCGGTGCAGGAGTTCCCGGTCACGCGATTGTCGGAGCATGAGATTGTCGATACCAATGGCGCTGGGGATGCATTTGTTGGTGGTTTTCTGGCGCAATTCGTACAGGGCAAATCCCTGGATGTGTGCATCCGATGTGGAAATTATGCGGCTGGACATATTATCAAGAATCCAGGATGCACATACGCTGGAGAACCGGAGTTTGTCGAGTAATCTAGGGTCCTACAAATGCTACAGAAACCTTATAGCCCGGAAATAGAACGCAAGAGGCAGGCAAAGCGCAGAAAGATTTTGCAATTGTTAATTAAGTAATGAGAGTGACTAAGACATTTTGTTAAAACTGATAATTGTTTGTACATATAATCCACACACACATACACACACACACTCACACACAGGCACATGAAACAAAAGGAATCACACACAAGCATACACATGTGGCGAGAGTGAGGCTTGTGTCTTAATAGATAGAGCAATATTCGAATTTAAATTGATAATAAAACAAGAATGACACAGGCGAGAAAAATAAACAAGTCAACCGTTTGCACAACTTGAAATTTCTATTTTTGATAAGAGGGGTGAATGGTCCAAAGAGTGGAATGTTGGCTAAAAGCTTATAAGACTGGAATTAAAGGGTCTTATCATTATAATGAAATGTCTGGTTAAATGAAATCAATTAATTAAATTTATAAAATATATATTCCTAATCAACTAGATGTGAAACCAAACAGGTGCCTTACAACTTTATGTTCGTCATTAGATTAGATAGTTAGTAACTAGCAACGATAACATAAAGATTAACTATACAAAATGACAAGATATCTCAACCTGTTATTACCACATAAAATAGCCACGTCCATAAATCCTAAACATGTTAGATAAACGGAGGACTACTATAAATTATGAATATAGTTGACATCAATCCATTAACCCATCACCCATCGATTAGATAACTAATGACTAGGTTTTTGACTAGTTTATGTTTAGTAAAAACAAAATGCTTAGTATCAGATAACTTATTTTCAAAAATACAATGTGCAGTTTTTGTTTGTTTTGGCTGTACAAAAGCCGATTGTAGTTTACGGGTGTCTAAAGCTAAAATAGAACTTGTTGTTTGGCCTGACGACTGATTTGTGACATTGAACCGTGGAGATCGCGGAGCATTACTCGATCAGATAGCCCCGGATGAAGGGCAGGCCGGTGGGGACCCGTTTCTGATAACGCACGTAGTCGGACTGGAAGAAATTGAGCAGGGAGTATTCCTCAACATAGACGCGGTCGTGGAAGAAAAGCCAGCTGACCAGGGTGTAGAGGCAAATGCATATGGGATTCAGAAGTATTATCTGTGTTCCAATGGACCACCAAAACCATCCAACGTAGGACGGATGACGACAATAGGCGTAAATGCCGTGCGTTATGAGCTTATGGTCCGAATGTTTTTCATCCTGTACCTGAGATAGAGAATAGAATATAGATTGTCTGATTTTGAAAGCTAAGACTACAACTAACCAAATGGGTAAAGCTTCGACCGGCTGTGATGATAGCACCTTTCCGTACCAGCTCGCCGAAGAAGCACATGGCTATTCCCAGTAACCAGATGTAGCCGTATCTCTTAAACTCTGGCAGGAAGTACAGCTCCAACGAAAACTCTATCCAACTGGCGGCAGCTGCCAAACCATAGTGCACCGAGTGGTTCAGCATAAACGAGTCCAGACTCAAAGTACGCGGATTGGCATATGCGATGACCAGGAACTCCGAGTAGTGGAAGACTGACATGAAGCATCCATAGACACCAAATTGCTGCCACCCGATGGGTGCAAAGAGGATAACTAGTACACTAACGGCTACGGCAAATCCCAAAAAGGAGGCCCGTATGGCGACCTACAGAGAAGTGACAACGGTGAGCAGTTAGATTAGATTCGGAATTCCAATGACTCACCTGGTAGTCGTGGTTCCGCAATACGAACCGTATGATCATATTGATTAGGGCGTAGTACAGGACTGGGCCCCACAAAACGGCTCCCCACACTTGAGGCACAATGCCATAGTGGATCTGGGGCACCGAGGGGATCAGGACCAATCCTGCCGTAATTAAAAAGCAAAACAAACTAAGGCGACCATCATAGCAGAGAGCAAAGCAGAAGGGAGAGCCGGATGTCGGTGGGCCGGGGTTCCGACCACTGTTTGCGCACATTTCCACGCCCTTTGGTCAGTTTTTGTGCTGCAGGTGTATTCCAGATCACAGATATTGGTGTTTTTCAAAACATTTGCTTCGGTTCAACGCACAAAAATGTAAATAAACCGGCAATCTGCCGATAACGATAACAGAAACGGTGAATACCAGATAATAAGAACTATTGATAAATCTGATGCATAAAACATAAATCATTGTCTTAATCCACTAAGAAAATTATAGGAGGTTTTATTTTAATTTATAATAATAAACTCATTAAAATAATAATAATATATCTTTACTTTAATTTACATCGATAGCTATCGATACCTCGATAGCCGGCGTGCACGTTATGTAAAATAAAAACAGCAATTTATTAATTAAAGTAGCCAAAGAACCTGCTCCAGTTCCAGCCATGGTGTTTTTAAACCTGCCACTTTTGGTACGAGCCCGAGGACCCGATGAATTCTGGCGCAAGCGTCGAATCTTTAAACTGGCGGCGGTAAGTTTCGAATTTGTTGGGAAAACAACAATAATATACATAAATAAATGCTTCCTGCAGCACTACCGCAGCCGCACCAGGAATGTTTACTCCTTCGCAATCAGGAGTGTCCATAGGGCTTTGGCCTATGCAACCAAAGGACGCAAGCTGAAGAAACTGGACATGGCCCAGCTGTGGACGACGCGTGTGGAGGCTGGTTGCCAGCAATACGGCGTTGGCTTAGAGACCTTCAAAGAAGGCTTGGCTCGCTCCGACATTCTGCTTAACAAGTACGTGGAATAACTTCATATAGACGTCCTTAATCTTATGCCACCTGTTTTTTCTAGAAAAATGCTCTCCGATCTGGCTATTTGGGAACCGCGTTCCTTTGAGACTCTCGTCAAGATCTCCCGGGAACGAGCTGCTGTGGAAGGATTGCCGGATTTAAAGCGCCCATCCGCCTTTAACCAGGTCTATGGCCTGAGCAACCTGAAGTTGGATTAACTTAGCCTTAAGTAGGAGTTCAAATATAGTTGTTTTATAAATTAAAGCCAATGGTTTTTCAATCTCCTCCAGACAATCTTTTCAGTTAATATTTGTGATTTAACAAATAACTTTGAATTTATTCAACGGTCTATGCGCAATGCAAATAAAAATATTGCATCAGCGTTTATTGTAGTTATGTTCTGGGTTTGTGTGTTACGTACTAATAGAAAACATAGAATTCATAGAATTGTGAGACGGGCTGCCCGGGAGACTCTACTCCAACTTAGCCAGGATATCCGATTCACGGAAAAGGATCAGTTCCTGTGGCTTATCGCCTTCCAAGTTGACCTTGGTGCCTCCGAATTCAGGCAGCAGAACGCGATCGCCTTCCTTGACGCCAATGGGAATGTGATTGCCAGTGGTCTGCAAGAAACGAATTAATAAATAAAATGTATATACAACTTAAAATAATTCGATCAATCACAATAAAGTATTTTAACAAAAATTTAATAAATATTAGAGCATAAGATTACATAAAATACAAACAATTACATCTTTGGAAATGAAGGAAACCTCTAGAAAAACTTCCAAGGTCAGAAACTATTTTCAATTAATTTTTAGAGGGATTTCCAGCCAGAATTATGAAAGATCGACTTAAATTGCGAAATACTTACGGCATTGCGGGCACCGGGACCAACGGCAACGACCGTGCCCTCGAGAACTTTGCCCACAGACTTCTCTGGCAAAACGATTCCACCTTTCGTCTTGGTCAGAGCCTCGGCGCGCTGGACCAGAATCCTGTCCAGCATGGGGATGATCTTCTTGATAGCGGCGGCCTGGAAAAATAACAAGCAGAGCCCATATTTAACCCATGTTGAACTGTTACACAACAGCCCGGCAAGTGGGAGGTGGAGATGCACCCATCGAAGCTTCTCGAAAATGGTGGTGCCATCACTCAGTGCCTTTTTTCAATGATACTTCGAGCTATAAATAGTAAACTCACCATTTCTGTTTATAAATGCAAACTGGGGTGCTTTGTAAAGCCAAAAACTTAACTTTTTACTTAACTACACGTGCCACTCGCCCGGCGAACCTTCGGTAGATGCGGGAGCTCCAAAATATGTTGCGCTTAGAGAGATATCGATAGAGCTTCATATAAATCGATATTTTTTGTTATTAATATTTTGTTATTTTATTATTTTGTTTGTGGATTTTAGTTATATTTATATTATAAAAACAACATTAGGTGCAACATCCATTTCAAAAATATTGTGACTTTAAATATATTTATTCCTTTTCTAGCTATCGATAATAATGAAAAAAAAAAATACCAAAAAGGAACACCCTGTTCTGATAAGAATACCTTTATGTACTGTATGTATCTCGATCATTTGCTTTGTGATTAATAAAATTGTTTAAGGGCAGCGAATGTAAATAAACACTTTGGTAATTACTCTAAAAATTAAATTGATGCATTAGTTTCAGGGTCTATCAAACTGTTCACATGCAGTGGCATTGGAAATTGTTAAAACTAAGGCAATATCTCTGAGACAGTTTTCGTAAGTTAGCAATTACTGGTGAATCCCCTACTTCAGTCCAAGTTCAATACAAAAATGAATCGCATTCAAAGGAAAAAGGAATACTTTAATGATGTCTCAGAGAAATGGAGAAAGGTGAATATATATTTGGAGATGATTTTCATAGATCGCACACCACTGGACAGCAAGAAAATGATGGAGTTTTACCAACTCGTCTACTACCACTGCTGCTGCTTCTCCGAAGACCCCAGCGTAAAGTCCCAGGATGCAGGAACAAGTTTCTACGATAATACTATTAGATTTTTGAAGGAACGGCTATGGGTAGTTTCTAGGGAATTGGACTTGATCACAAATAATGAACAATTACTTATTAAATACTTAGAGCAATGGGATATGTATCGAAAATCCTGCGAAGTCCTGAACTGTGGCTGTCGGTTCTTCAATCAAAACTGGGTTACATTCGAAAATTCAGGGAAAGGAGTCGACATTGTACATGATATCTATCGCACTGCAATAATACAATGGATGGATGTTGTTTTCCGCCCAGTGGATAGGTCGTTGGTAAACGCGATTACCAGTTTAATCCGTCGTACGGATCAGCATGAAAGGATCCACATGGTGCTTCAATCTATTGTGGAGCTTTATGCTAATGATGAGAATCAAAAAGTCTCCGTTCCGGATAAATTGAACAACGTATTCGACAGGGCAGTGGTAGATTTATACAAACAAAGAACTTTTATCAAATTCCAGTACATATTTAGTTCCAATGTCTTTACTGACTTTAAGCATTTCCTGAAATACGCCTGTTTGGCTATGCCGGAGATAGAGAACGGAAATCAGTTTAAGGATTTCCTAAAAAGTCATATTACTCCTAAGCTAAATGAGGCAGTGCGAAAGTCCCCAAGATCCAAGGACTCGAAGATCGAGGCCATTTTGGCTGTTCGCAATAGTCGTCTTGGACGTTCTATTGAGGACCACAAAGAGCTGAAAGACATAATGAATAAGTCTGTCGCGGTTATACTGGCCAAGTATAGCGACGATCTAATGAAAAACAAAAAATTGGCAGAGGCTGATCTGAAAAACGAGTATCAGCACATTGTCAAAATTGTGGAATCTATGAACGAAATAAAGGTATTCATAAGGCGATACAGGGATTACCTAAGGTATCGGCTAATTGGAGAGACATGCGTTTCTCTGAATAGAGAGTTCATGATGGTTTCATGGCTAACTGATGCATTTGGAGACGAAACAATAATATTGAGGGTTGTTTTGAGAAATTTCCAAACATCCAATTCCTTTAATGACCAGTTGCAAACGTATCTTGCGACCAGAAATCTTGGATTTGAGTTCCATCTTCATTATTTCAAACAAGATAGAATGGAAGTTGTGGAAAACTTTAATCTAATATTGCCATGGGAAATGCAGCAAGCCGTGGAGGAGTTGAAGCAATATCAATTCATAAAACATCCCAGAAAGAAGATAGAATTCGATTTTTTAAATTCCTTTGGAATCATAACTTTTAACCTAGGAGAGTCGTCCTATAATTTCTCAGTAAATACCTTTCATATGGTGATCTTAATGCAGTTCAACATTTCCCAAAGGCTTACAATTGAGCAGTTGATTGGTAATTTGAACATGACTATGGATATTCTCGAATGGGTAAGTTTCTCTTAAATCTATTGCTATAATTTACATAAAATTATTTTGTTTTTCTAGGCTTTGGATCCTCTCATAAGTAACAAAGTATTGATCCGTAGCCGTTCATCCAGTAAACTGTCTGATGTCGTGGAAGTAAATGAAAACTTCAACAGCCGCAAGCGCCAAGTTAATATAAATTTTAAAACAAAACTTCCAAAGATGAGAAAAATTTCACTTCAAGAAATTCAAGAGAATTTATAGAAAGAAACATTCAGATGTTGTTTGGAAAGGATGCTCTATTCTTAAAGAATTATTATATTTAGTATACCAAATTATAAATTGGAATGAAATGTATAGAATTAATAAAACTATTTTTTAAGAATAATCATATTCTGCCCGAGGACCCTAAAACCCATCTATTTCAAATACTGCAGTATTTTATTTCAAAGTCGGCTTGGGTCATCATGCAAACGAAATGAACCCATGTCGTAACATTCCTGGAGTCCTTCACTTTTGGCATTTTTGATGGTCCAGTTTATGACCGTTGATTTTCTTATCTGTAGGACTGACCAATTCTTCAGTATCGATTTTGTAGAAAGGATCGATCGACTCAAACCCATAGTGACTAGTCGGACCCATTTTCATGGCTGCATAATTGTCTCCAGAATATACGTGCTTTAAGGCCAGCGTCATGTCCTGCATTTCGGCACATATATTGTCGTAGATTAGGCGATCATGCATTTTAAGCTGTAGAATGGCCATTTTCGCCAGATACATCAACTGGCTGCGTGATAGCGGACGGGCTGTAAAATTACGAAGAGATTCTCTGGATCCGGAAACCTCCTCGCACAGTAGCTTTTCCAGGGGAAGGCCAAACACCAGGGATACAGCCTCTGGCAGGGTACGAGGAGTCCTCTCGCGACGAGCCAAACACAGGGCCGTAAAGCTGTCCCAAACTCCGCCCAAGCTGATGCCGTGACGATGGCTGAAATGATCACTAATGCGATGACTGTAATGGACCACTTTTCTCGGCCGCTTCGCTTCGAAAATGGAACGCAGTTCCGGAAAGATGGTGCCCCCTAGGGACTGGATATCGAATATGTAGGTTTCGTTTGCGGTAGCCACTACCAATACTGAGGTTTTGTGGTGTCGTCCATAGAAACTAGGCTCGACCAGCAGCGACAGTATGGTCTGGTCGCGCATGTCTGACAGTGCGTGGTGGTACTTCTTGTCCGTTTGCTGGATAAACACGATTCTCTGCAGTTTCTCCTTCAGATTTTCGAGCTCGTGCTCCTCCAACGGAATGCAAGCTTTCGAGTTATCGCTAACCGCGTCCGAGGCCGAGTAGAACGAGACATCGCTGTCTTCCCCTTCGCTGTCTTGCATTCTGACGTAGATTTTTTCATTATTTACTTTATTTTATATTTGTAGTCTATTAGATTTTTATATTAGTGCTTGTTTTAAACTTACTTCCAATTCTAGAGATGAAGAAACGTCGATACAAACATGGATGCATCCATGCATTTTCGCAACGATGTTTGGTAACGACTATCGATGTATCCGGCATATCGGATATTTTACTCAGAACCACTTTTCTTTTAAACTCAGCTCCTAGGCCTAAAAAAATATAACTCCAACCTAATTATTTTTTTTAAGCATTTTTATAATATTTAAAATTTCCTATATTCAATCCGATAGCAGTGTATAATCCGATTTCAGCAGGATCCGAGATATCGTTAAGCCTATTGTATATTTGCGCATCGCTATTATTAAAAACAATCGAGCTTTCAAATTACTGAATAATGACCAAATTTTACCGCAAAGGTATATCTACTTTAGGTATATAAAGTGAAGACCAGACTTCTGCCGGTAGTGGGGATATTCGGCAAATCCACAATTTATGGGGGTACCCCTAGGAAAATAATCGAAAAATTAAAAAATGCCATTTAAGCAATGTTTTGAATGAGGAAAGTAGCTTCTGGGTCGCTGATTACTGAAAGGTACTTTGTTTCCTGATCGGATACAAATTGGCAGAGCTATGGCCATCGGAAGGGGCAAAAGTACGGATATTAGGAAAACCCACAATTTTATGGGGAAGCCCCTTGGAAAAAATTCGAAAATTTTGAAAACGATATTTAAGCAATGTTTTGAATGAGGAAAGTAGCTTCTGGGTTCGCTGATTACTGAAAGGTACTTTGTTTCCTGATCGAATACAAATTGGCAGAGCTATGGCCATCGGAAGGGGCAAAAGTGGACAAATGAGAAAAACACACAATTTTATAGGGGAGCCTCTTAGAAAAAATTCGAAAATTTTGAAAACGATATTCAAGCAATGTTTTGAATGAGGAAAGTCGCTTCTGGGTTCGCTGATTACTGAATGGTACTTTGTTTCCTGATCGGATACAAATAGGCAGAGCTATGGCCATCGGAAGGGGCAAAAGTGGAGAAATGAGAAAAACCCACAATTTTATAGGGGAGCCCCTTGGAAAAAATTCGAAAATTTTGAAAAAGATATTTAAGCAATGTTTTGAATAAGGAAAGTAGCTTCTGGGTTTGCTGATTACTGAAAGGTACTTTGTTTCCTGATCGGATACAAATTGGCAGAGCTATGGTAATGGGAAGGTGCAAAAGTACGGAAATTAGGAAAACCCACAATTTTATAGGGGAGCCCCTTGGAAAAAATTTAAATTTTTTATCCATAATTCAGAAAAAAATCATAATATAGTTAAATTAATATTGAATAATTTTATTTGATAAAGTATGTTTCAAAAATGTTAAGCACAAATGTCTGATGATTACATACGGATAAGAATGGTATTTAATTGAATAGTCTTCAATCACTTAGCAAAAGTTTATGTTCGATAAATTTTTCTTGGGCCCTTTTTCGACTGTTTTTTTGCCAGTTTTTCTTTCAAAACTTTAAGTCTGGCCAATAACTGGGCTATGGAAGGCAAATCTCCTAAGTCACACTCATAAATGCATTCGTCAGCATTGCGCTCCATTCTATCTATGAACTCGTTGAGATCCTTAAGATTTTTGTGGATCAATTCGATGCGACCCAAGTAGGATTCTTCAGGTAGTCCATACAATTTAGATATTGCTTTCAATGCGACCTCCATATGGTTAAGTCTTTCTGCAAACTTTGTTGGCGTTTTTATTAGTTTATTTTCTAATTGAATTAAACGATGTTCCATAACACTATTTTTCTTTTTAAATTCTTCAATTTTCTCTTCCATATTTTTTGTGTAACCTTCAAATTGTTTTAGGAACTTTTCATTTTCGGCATTGAATTCTTTCTTGCGATTTTGAATTGTCTTGGCCAAGTTTGTTATTTCAATATCATTAATATCCTTTATTTGCTTCGATAAATGGGTAAAATTCTGTTCGAAAGAATTTAATTTTTTATTCGTGGGAGTTGAGTTGTATTTCCGAATGGATTCTTCAATAACGTTTATATTATCTTTAATCTGTTTGGTTTGTTTTTTAGATATTAATTCATTCTTCTCAAATGTAAATATGCTTCTTTTATTGGTTATATCAGCTTCTTCGATAGTTTTTGAGACAATGGGAAATTCTTTCAAATAACTAGAAATATTTAAACTTGACTTCATTGGACTAATCACCTTCATGATTTTTAAAAACGTATTATTTCCGTTTTGTATATTTTCTAAGTTGGAAATTATTTCCGGTAGTTTGTTAACTCTTGAGTTGACTTCTTCGACCGATTTATTTAGTTTTGTCCAATTTACATTAACAAAAGCGTTGATTTTCCCATATTTTCTACTTAATTCATACATTTTTCCATTTAAAGTTTGAATTATTTCCTTATTTATATTAGTATGACAATTTTTTGTACATGAGGAGTAAAGTTTTTGAAGTTCCATGTCTTCCAAACTTATTATAGACTTAGTGCCCGATATAATTTCATGTAAGTTTGCTAAGCTGTCTCTCACGTTGTCTAAAAGATTTTCTTTATTTTCAATGGTAGCCTCAAGATTTAAATTTTTTATAAATTTTTCCAGTTCATAAATTTTTTTCTTTTTACTATCACAACAAGCATTGACGTTATTTTTATTCGCAATTAAAGCTTCCAGGTTTTGGAAACTTTTTAACTTAGTCTCATAGCTCTTCTCAAGGGCTTTGTGTCTATTAACAAAGGAAGTTACATCGAAATATGTTTTGGGCAAGATTAAATTCTTAAGATTGTTTTCGAAATCATATCCAAGTTTTTTAAGTTGATCTTTAAAACCATAGCAACACTTTCCAGTCGTGAAATTACCACCATTTTTGATAGTTGTTAAAATAAGATACTCTAGTCTATCTTTAAGATTGGAAAAGTCGTGAATAACTGAACCCGTAAACTCGACTTTATTAAAGGCTTTAATACCTTGGAGGTCGTGGAGAAAGTCAATGCCATCGTTAACAATTTCTAGTCTATCCCGAATTGCTCCGTACGGACAGCAGTACCTCATCGCGTATTTATGAACTTTTTCGAGAAAATCAGGATATCGTTTTATGAGCTTGTCTAATTGCTTAAAGCCCTTAGTTTCTGGGACCAACCATCGGCCAACTACACTTTCATCATAACAAACGTATGGGAAATCATTTATTTCAGGCATCGAAGTAGTAGTTGAACTGGTATATGGTGTATGACTAGATGCATCATCGGTGGAATTGCACCACCCTTGCATCGATCCAAAATTCACCTTAAAAGACCGGCCCTTATTGGCCTCCTCGACAACAATGAAAAGCTTCGGATTAAGAAACATTTGTTTAACTTCATTCGACCAGCGGACGATCAACTTGTAAAAGTTCTTCTGTCCAGCCTTCGAGAGCCCTTGGGGCAAGCAATTGTGTTTTTCATATTCCGACATGATATCATTAAAGTATATATCAGTTTCATTGGTTTTTCCATACTCATCGGAGTCTGTATAATCCTCTGGAAGGTCCCGAACAAACCGACACACCAAGATTAACTTGAAATAAAAGTTGAATTGACAAGAGATCAAAAATATTATCAGTTAAGCTATAAAATATTGCTCTTCACATCCTTTTAAATAATTTACCTTAATGCAGAACTCAAACTTTTCCCCTTCAGTGGGGAATTCGTAAAACGCTCTTGTTCCTCCAATATGTCTATGAGTTTGAACCATTCCGATAAGCAGGAACACGATTAGATGATTCATACGCATCTGCAGAAGAATTGATAAAAGTTTATTTGGTAGCTATTTTATCATGGCTTTTTTAATTATTTTTTAACAGATCCAACATCTTAGTCTCTTAAGTATCTTATAAAATGAAAGATTTCGATTGGAAGATAGACCAAAATGACTGTTACTTTCTTATACTCATTTTGGGGGATGGTTTTTTAACGGCTATACTATTTGTTTTGAGGGGTTGCCTATTTATTTGTACCATGACTTGACTGCTAACTTGTCTACTTGATTTACATCTGATTGCCTTTCGTCTTCGGGCGCTATTCATTACCTGACCCCAACTACACCTGGGCACCCTTTTCTAATTCAATTCGAAATGGCCGTGATGCGGGGGAACGGGACCTGCCATTGTTATTGTTACCCTCTTCTAGGGTCCGGTGCATTTATTATAGTTTCGGTGCATAACGATTCTTGGGTTCAATTCCCGATTCCCACGGTTCCTTCCGAACGTGTCCTGCGCGTGAGGAGCGTACGCATAAAGTGTGTTCCCATGTTCCCATGGTTATAGATGGAGAGGGTTTCTGAAAAGAAAAAGGAAATGATTAGGGGAAGCAATTCTAGCAATCTTCCTACCTGCTGTCCTTGGTAATTGTAGAGGTTTCTGTTGATAAGACTTGGAGAGGGATTGAAATAGATTTATGCCAAATATGAGTAGATATGAAACTGTTTTCTTTTTCAGATTCTATACATATTTGTTTTACCTCACATGATAGAGATGAAGTAGTCAAAAAATCTATATCAACAATATTGTTTGTTCTTTTTTTACGATATTTGAAAGGGAAATCTTTAAGTTTCATCAAGAATACCTATATTTGGATCAACATTTTATATGATTTTTTAATAATTAATTTCCAGTTACAATTTTAATGTCAAAAACTAGTTCTGACTGACAAAATATATAAATAACCAGCATAAAATGTATACTTCTGATAACTGATTTTCATTTTTATTATTCAAGTGTATAGTAATTTCTCTTGATTTGAGAGGTCCCCCATTCCAGGGTGTATACGATATTCGTCGTTGAAACATTTTTCATGATTTTGCTATGCGTAAATAGTCCCGCATCTGATTGACTTGGTCATGAACGGTCATTAAACTGCATTTCCAGAGGGGCGTTGTTAAGTTTTCCTGTGTATCTGGATACGAGCGTGTATCTGTATCTGGGTATCCACATGTGTGCACCAGTATTTTTATGTGTAGAATGCACATAAGCTTCACTGGCGAGGGGCGATTCTTGTTTTGGGGTCCGCGAGATCGTTAAAATCGAGAAAGACAGAGAAAGGGAGTCTGGCAGGGAGATGGTGCGAGGGACCCTAGAGATGCTGCCGAACGTGCGTGAGGGAAAAGATTAAACGAAAACAAATCACACCAACAACGGAGAAGGAGCAACAAAGTCAATCTTTAACGTGGAATGCACCAGGAAAAATCTAAATCTACTAAAATTAAAGTATCTTGAAAAGTATCTGTATCTGAAAATTAAAATCATATAACGGGAAGACAACCAAATCTAGAAAATTCCAAGAGTCTCTCCTATGTGATCTTATATCTTGAATTTTTGTGTTTTTTTTTCTCAGTATTTCTCAGTGTATCTGAAAGGAATGACCTGAACCTCAAGTAAACAGAAGATTGAGCGGAGGGGAGGGTAAAAAAAGTGATAAACATAAAAATGGGTAGTGGTAGCCCGGCGACTGTAGATAACCGAAAAGGGCCCGGCGTAAATGCATGATAAAAACAACACAAACACAAGAACAGACCCAGACCCAGGTCCAGGTTCAGGCCCAGGCCCAGGCAAGGAGCCGGAGATTGTCGAGTTTGTGTGTAAGCGGGTGTGTGTGTGTGTTTTGTATTTATCTCTATTTACGCGGCAGCGAAGTCAACGCCGCCGCGAGTTGTATAAAATCCGGTGATCGCCGCTGTCGAGAGTCAGTGCTCAGCGAAAACCGTTAACGACCACATCTCATCTCCGCAGGATCACCCACACCCAGTCCATCTCCTTGAGAGATCTCAGAGGGAATCGGGAGATCGAAGATCGGAGATGGGATGGTTGCAGCTTTAAACGCGCTCCAAGCGCAACCCACTACGAAGTGCTCCGTATGGCGCCTCGTTACTTTGGTTGGTACAGAAGCTTTAAAGACCGCTTGGCTCCCCGCAACTCCCGCCATCCCACACGCCACTCCCTCACCCACTGCCAAGGATAGAGGCTTGGACAGAGGACAAGGCCGGGAACAAGGACGAGGAGGAGGAGGAGACAACAGGACCGGGCTGGAGGAAAGTGCAATGGTGCCTTGGAAGGAATCTCGTACAAGCAGAAGACTCCGTTTGGCGATCCCCCCCAAGGACAACACCCCCTATTTCATGTGCAATACTGTCTAAATCGTTAATATCCACGTTCCTGGAACGTTAAGCTGTGATTTTAAGCAATCATAATGTTGTTGAATTCTTGTTAATCCTTGTTAAGTTTGATACAAAATCGTTAATTTAAAAAAATCAGACAGCTTCGTTGGCGCTCTACGTTGCGTTTTAGATAACAACAAAGTCGCTTACGTCTTCCATTACTGATAAGTGCAATTTAGTTTAAGAAATAGTTTTTCCTTTGTTGAAATAAAACAGCTCTTCATGGGAAAGCTAACAAAAAAAAAAAAGTTTTTGTGTTTGTTTCAAAATTTTTCACATTTTCAGCTAGTATTACATCTACATACGATCACATTACATCTAAGACTACGTTGATTCTAAGTCTAAGTTAGTCTTAGAATGATTAAGGTTAGATTTACTACATGATGAGAACATTAATATATATTTTAATATTATATTAAAGTTTTAATCATGCAGCTTCTAATCATAATCATCATATTTATATCTAATATGTAAGTTAATTTTATCTTTTTTCAAGATATCAGGATTTAGACCGCTTTAGAAAGCTGTTTATTCGCTTTTATAGTCAATCAATGATATTTAGATTCTTTAATTATTATACAAAGTAGTCCTAGGAAAAAAATGATTAAAAAAAACTTAGGTAAAGTTAAATAAGAAGCCAAACTACGGAAGGATACGGACAGTGTTGCTGTGGCTTTCCCCTGAGTATAAATTCTTGTACTTTTATGTTTCTGTTCATCATACTCTCGACACTTAGTTGATAGAATAATTATTCTAAAATCTTAACATCCTCAACCATTTACGAAGCATGTTTTATAATACCATAAATTAAAGGATAAATATATCTTTGCTATATTTTGGTGGTAATATAAAGTTCCCCTTTTTCTTACCGTGTACCACACTAATTTCCGCACCATGTTTACGGCATGGTGAGCAATTCTAAATTTTAAAATTCCCAAAAAAAAACTGTGAAACTATGCCACATATTTGTAATATAGTAAACACAAGCCCAACACATGTTTTTCCCAAGGGAATGTCCCACATTACCAAGGATCTGAAATGAGGATAGAACCTTAGCTAGGACCATGTGGTAGGCAGACTGTGAAATAAATCTGTTTTCTTATCTTGTAAATAATAACAATTTTAAATTTTTTTTTGTTTTTAATGTTTATTTTAGTTTTTTGTTTATAAACAATTTTTTTCCATAACAATTGAGATCCTTTTTTGCACCGCAAAAAAAGGATAATTGTTAGGATTTCTCCCGCCATTAATTTGTATGGCTACCCAACCGCTTTTTGGATAATTTCAATTCAGTGAGTTTGAAAAATTCCGAAAGCGCCCTAGATCGATGAACCCAAAGTCGAAGTGCCCAAACTCTGAAGTGCCCATCCCGCTGGAGAACCGAGCTCCAGTCCAGTCGAAGAGTTGTCCCAAGTGTTGGTCGAAAACCCCCATTTGTTGTCCAAGGTTGAAGTCCTGCTTTCAGCTTAGAGGTCGGTTCACGCCTGAGCCCATCGGTCGAGGAAGTTCCATTCGATGGCATAGGGCTCGGACTTGGGTTGCATCGATGTCCAGAAGAAGGTGCCAGCATTGGTGCGAGCGAAGTGGACCGGAACGTAGTAATCCTCCTGATCCATGGTCATCAGTTCGCCGGAGCCGTTTTCGTTGTAGATGATGACGGCATCCTCCTTGGCGCACTGCCGGATTTCGTCGATCAGGCGATTCTCCAGATGCTCGTTGGCCATGTTGTCCATATCGTTGTTGAGCCACTCGAACTCGGCCTCCTTCTCCTCCGAGGCGATATAGGAGCTGCGCTTGGGCTGCTGCTCCTTTTTCAGGTTGAAGACATGACCCAGGAGGGGCTTCAGCAGGTTCTTCAGGCGACGGGATGGTGAAACCTTTGACTTGTACATGGTGTTGAAGTTCTTTTGCTTGCTGATGGCCGACATTAGGTAATGATGTGTTTCTTGAAGATAGTTTTCGTGTGTTGTGTAGCTGAGATGTGCTCGCTTTGACGTTCGGATGCTGTGTGATGCTCTCTCTAAGACCGGCGGCGCTATTTATACATTTTCGGGTCTCTCCGGAGATCCTGCAGCATCTCGGCCAATCACAGCCCTCGAAACACAGGCAGGTGCAAGGATCTGAAATTTCACACGTTAGTCAGTGGCAGCAGGTAGGTCCTGCAGGACCTGAGATCCCAAGATCTTGGGCAAAGCGTGGGAATCTCGAGCCTATTTCTCCTTCCAAGACAATTATTCCCCCGGAGGAATCCTTGGCGTGGGAACAGCACATTTCTGACCTTCTCTCGGAGTCCCATTTATTGTTTTGGATTTCGTTTGGGTTTGTTTTGCCATTTCATCAGAAATATGGTCCCGATCCTGTAACCGAAAACGATCTACATTCAGATCCAAATTTATACAAATCTTGCACTTTCATTCTCAGGTTTATTGTTTGCTTGATTAGTGATGGCCACGTTTAAGGTCCTTTGAGTCACGATCTTAAAAATTCTCAGGCTCGGCTGGGGAGCTCACTTGAAGTTTTAGGAAATATTTCTCGTGTCACGGCAAGGGGTCCTTTCTGGTCCATCTCTAGACCTCATTTTTTCGGTGGTTATCCATTCAATTAATTGGTTGGGGTTTATTTTTTTGAGAATGTGTCGCCTTCATATCTTATTTATGGTGGGATAATTGTTTTGCTTTTAGTGTTTGAAAGAAACTCAAGCCCAGTTTTGTGTTGAAGAAATATGAGATTGCTGTCGTATTTATGGGGCTTAATGGGTTGGGTACCTAAAGATATTTTTGCGATAGATATGTATATCGAAGCAACACTTATAGGATTATGTATATTTATAGCTTATATGAATATTTAAAATATTGATCTTGAGGTTTTTTTTAAATAAATAGATAGAAATAATTGCTAATGAGATCATATTTAGAAATTTTTATAAAATGACATAATTTTTAATTATATTAGAAAATAAACAGGAAAGATATAGTAAATTTTATTGGCAAGCATTTTACAAAAGTAATAATAGAAAGATGTTTGTTTCATTTTTTGCATAATTATTTTAACAATGCGTTTAATGCTTGAAACGTATTCTTAAGCCCAATAATATCCCCATCTTGGCTAAACTGTACCTAGTTCTGCATCACCATTAGCTCCTTTTATGTAAAAACTATTTACATAATGCATAAGCCCATACATAAATATACATATGTATGCCAGTATTCTCCCCTTTTTAAAAATGCATCGAAGATCGAACTGATCCGTGCGGCCTTTTCGCATTTATTATTGAGATAGGATTGGCTTTGGTCTTGTTGTTGTTTTTGCTGCTGCTGGGGCCCTTGTTTTTGTTTATCATCTTAGGGACCTCTTAGGGACCCCTACCTCTACCTCTTCTACCTGTTCGGATGCAATTCGAGATTTATTTTGTCCAGGGCCCAACCCTAAGAAGGAGCACAGAAAACGAAAATCAAAAATCGCCTCGAGGTAACAGGTTTTCTTGGTTCATTCCGCTGGATTTTTCGAGTTTTTCGAATCCACAACAGGTTTTAATCAAAGGGAACAGGTAAGAGAGCCAGAAAAAGGTTTATTTTCGAGTTAAGGTTCTTTAGGGCCTTGCTTTTCTGTGAAATACAAGGGGTAGGGGTAAGAACGGTTTTTGTTTTACAAATTCTCGGAAAACCTTCAAGGAAATTACAATGACAAAGGGAAAGTTCGAATAAGAAATCAGAAATGCTGACAAGTTTCGGTTTTAATATTATTCATTTATTCATACTCTTAAGCATAGATGGAAGACAATGATTAAAGCTGAGTGTTTATGTATTCATAAGTTTGATTTAAAGCTGTTGCGGATGTTTAGAGACCGATTCCGATGGTGTCTTAAAGCTGTTCAGGATATGGGCTTTTACAGGATTTCCCATTTTCCTAGATCACAGTTGTTCAAGCTCGGCTTCCAGGGTCTCGTTTAGCGAGTTCTGCAACTCTTCCTCGGAGATTGGCGAGGGCAGCTCCGTCGGGATGGTCTGGTTCTTGAGGGGCTGGTGGCCCGATGCCTTGAAGATTTTGCTGGCCACCTTGAAGAGCTTCTTCACGGCCTTGGCTGGGGTGTAGGTGTTCTTCTTCTGGCAGGCTGGGCTGTAGGTGGTGTTCAGTAGAGTTTCGTAGGCCATGGTTGCGAAATATTGGTTTTTTGCTTTCTGGGCTTGAAATGATCTTGACTGTTCAACGCTGGGATTGAATTTGATGTCCTCTGAAGAATGTGGCCCGACTTTTATACCCGATCCTTGCGAAATCAACCCCTAACTGTTGGCCAATCAGGAAAGGTCCTGGCGCAGGTGTTTTTCGGTTTGCCCAGATATGAGAGTCACGCATACCCCGACCCTCGGCAGGTAGGCATTTCCAGGAGAGTCCCTTGCACGTGTACAAAGTGAGGCCTAAATAAATCTCTCCCTCGGATTCTTCGTGGGAGAGTATAATTTCAGTCGAATATTTATCGAAAGATGCGGCAAGAATACAAAAAAAATAACGAAAACCGAACCGAAAAAAACCATCCCTTTTTCATGGGTTCGGGTTAGTAATTTGAGTGGTTTGTTTGTGGAGGACTCGGCTCGAATTTATGCCTTGATTAGTTTTTGGCTATTAATTGTTAATAGGCTGACAGTGTAGGATAAAAGTGACAGACCCTCGTTAAACACATGTTGTCGGCAAACGAAAAATATTTACACGTCAACATTTCATTTTTGATCGGCACAGGTAGGCCAAGGATCCTTCGCCCACAGTGAACAATCGCCTTGAGTATTAATTCTACCTCGAACAAAATAATTCGAGATGTTTCCAAAGGATTTGATTGTGAGAGGCTTCACTGTCCCCACACTTGTTCCTGTGGTTTTCTCCTCATGACCACGATCGAATATTTAATTTCGTTTCGTGTTGAAATTCTGATTTCGTCTTTTCTCGAAATACTTGGTAATTGTAATTTTGGGAATCATTTGTATTCCCCTCAGTTCCTGGGGATCGTTAGGAGTTGGAGATGGAGGATCCTTTCCTATCTGCTTGGGGTGTGAATTTTTGTGGCTTTCTTAACTATTCCTTATGCATAATTCTCGATAAGCACTTGAAAATTGTATTTTCTTGGCGTCTCAAGTTAAGTCGTTAGTGTCAGGTTTCTTGAAATTCAAGCGCCAGAATGAAGCCAGCATAAAGTGCATTACATTCATAACAAGCTAATTGGTTATTCATTAAAGCAAAACGAAATATTTTAGAAAGAACTTGATTGAAATTTCCTCCATAAAATTAAATATATTTTCTTACTGTCAGATGAATTACAAAAAAACGTTGCATACTTATGTATATGCATCATACTGTAACAATGCGTTGATTTCACATTACTTATTAAATATTAAAGTTACAAACTTATTAAAGGAGAAGATTTGATCTACATATAGAATAAATAAATGGTATTACAAAATCAAATATTATAAAAAAATTTACTATGCTGTATTGTTTTTTAAAATCTTCAATATGATGGACAGTAAAGTTCATTTTTAAGACCCATATACATATACATATGTTACTTAATATATTGGATAACCAAAACTTAGTTTTGTAATATTGAAATTTTAAGAAATTTTTATTTTTCCGTTCTTATAATTGGCTACTAACTATATTTTCCATTTCAAAGCTATAGATTTCATACTAAAGTATCTAGCGCAACCGAAATATAGTAGAATGGTAGAGGAAACTCGGCGTATGTACATTTCCAACTGCATAGAATGCCATGCATACCACCAGTAACTATTTTTATTGGCTCTGATTGGTGCCCAAACAGGAATGAATAACTACCCTGATTGGGATGCCGGTTACCAGCATGACGAGAATCCATTATAATCTTAAATGGTCTAAGCAATTTTTGAACGGAACAGTTTTTTGTTCAGATTTGAGATATAAGTTATTTGTCTGGTAGTACCTAATAAAAATTGAAGATTTTTCTTTAAATGAGAAAGCAAATAAATTTTTCTTCTTAGTGTATTTTATTTTCTTATACGATCTTATAGCTAGAGTTTTACATGGAAGACAATGATTCTTACCCTATTAGAAGACCCTAACAAACAAACATGGAAGACAATGATTCGGCTAAGACTAACTTAAGGCTAATAAGACACGGTGGATCACAATGAGTTAGTAACGATAGTAACGTCATGATTGTGACAATTGAATATCAATTAGAGTTGCGTTTCCTTTGGGGCTGGTGACCAAAGAATCCAATCTATGCCTAATATCACCCTGAGATTACGAACATGCGAAGCTGATCATCCTACGATCAATGGAAGGAGACACTTGCACTTAAAGCTGCCAATTGGAGGTTGTTTTTTCGGCGTAGGACTGGATCTAGGCCTGAACCCATCGGTCAAACTGCTGGCGAAGCTGCTGCTCCTGGTGCTGGCGAACGGCATCGGCGGAGGTCCAGAAGAAGGTGCCACTGCTGGTGCGGGCAAAGTGCACCGGGATGAAGGTCTGCTCGGGATGGACGGGCACGATCCGCTGCTGTTGACCCTGCTGGACGATCATGGCCACGTTGTCGGGGCACTGGCGGAGATCGGTGTACAGTCGCTGCTCCAACTGCTCGTTGGCCATGTTATCGCAACTGGCGGCGGGATCTTTTCGCATATCCTCCAGCGAGGCGTTGACTGCATTCTGGGCCTGAATCTCGGCGAGGGTCTTCCGGAGGAGCTGCTTCTTCTTCACCAGCCGCAGCAGCGGTTTGACCAGTTTCTTCAGACTCCGCATGGCCATCGTATGCTGATCTGATTTCTGCTGCACCATCATGCTGTTCTCAAACTTGTATTCCCGTGTGATGAACGACATTGTGAGTTGGATTTAGTTGTTGGTAGATCGGAAGAAAAACTTGGTTCTTGAGTTGATGCACTCGGTACGGGAGTTGGTAGTGTTCTGGTCTCCCTGCTCTCGGCGGCCGCCTTTTATACGATCGGCTCTCAGGTCCCTCGCCGCGGGGGACCTTGCTCGGTGAGTGCGGTCTTCGCTCACGATCGACTGGTCCAGCCAATGGGATTGCAGCCTGCGGGCAGGTGGTTGCCCAGGCGGAGAGAGTAAGAGAAAGCAGAGAGTGGCATTGTGTTCAAGAGAAGATCCTTAACCCAGGCTTAACAGGGTATGCCAGGTATTTGTGCAATTCGAGCAGGAATTTTAAAATATAGCAATAGGAAAATTTTATTTTAAAATTAAAGAAATGAAAAATACTTTCATTTCATAGAAATATGTATTTATAAAATTGTACTTTTTAAAAGCTTAATACATATATCCCTTTAATAAAAACTAAAAGATATCCTTTTTAAGACTCTGATAAAATATATCTTGAATCAAAGGCCTCTAAGGTTCTTTCATTTATTCATTTATTCAAATAGTTTTTACTGGGTATTCTCCATTCGAGTTCTTTTAAATGTTAGCCATTCACTGGTTTTAACGGATTTTTTGGCTGCCGAGCAGATCTGGATCGGCTCTGGAATTTTCTTCCCCCACCTCCTCAGAGAATATATTCCTCTCGTACAGGCTCCTACTACCTGCTCCCGGTCTGGTGCAAAAAGGGAAAATATTTCAGAAATCCCTAAATCCCAAAACGAAAAATTCCAGGAGAGAGCTGGTCCGACAAGTCGTAACTTGTTGGAAAAAATCCAACCCCAAGTGTGAGCTCGGAGCGATTTTAAAATTCGACACACTATCCCAACAGCAAAAGACGGAGGATATGGATAAACAATAGGTTTGCGTATCCGAGAGATACAATCTCGCCGCTGGAAATACCCAAACGAACAAGGGACTTGTCCGTTATTTCATTGAGACAGCCCGAAAAGTGCCCTTCTGTCCGTCCGTGTGTCCGACAATCCGTCCGATAGTCCTTTTTCGCCCATTTTCATATTTTTTCCCAACCTGTAGGTAGTTGGGAAAGTAACGTATTTTTCGGGTACTTGCGCTGCAAGGATCCGGGGATCGGACCTCTCAAGGTTAGTCAATATGCATTAATGCCGCATTTTGGGAAATCTTGGCAGGTCCTTTTCAGCTCCTTCCGATCGCATTTGTTTGTCATTGTTGTTCTTTCCCCGGTTCGGGGACCTGCTCTGTTGATGCGTGAAAAATTTACGACGCGGGAGAAGCACGTACAGATACAATCTTTGTATCCGAGAGTTTGGTTTTGGCTCGGTTTACGCATTTTACTGGAATTTCGTCGGCACTTCGTTTATGAGTCGTCTTCCTAATTGTTATTTGGCCTTTTCCCTTGCCCCTGAAGGTTACTTTCATAATTTTGTAACGGCTCCGAGGACTCGGGTTTCCTTGTAACGGCCGAATCCTTACTTGATTATCCTCAGGATCATTAAGGGGCGTCTCTAATTGGCCCCCTGACTGAAATTGTAGCTCCTTATTACGCGGAGCTTCCCTTGCATTAAGGTTCCCCTTTAGTAACCAGTTTTTTTTGCTACCGCAATTTGGTGGGGAATATATCAATATCATTCGTGAAGAAGCCAAGTCGAAAGGGGTTAACCGGAGTCACAACTTGTATGGCCTGACCTGATTTGACCCTCTCCCCACATAACACATTCCGTTTATCCCTTCTTTATTTATTGATAAAAGGCGTATAATTTTGATTTTTAATATTCAGGTGAAATTTCTTTCGTTTTGAACTAATTATGAATGGTTAAAATATGGAAATTTACGTTAATTTGTTAAATGGTCGAAGTGGTTTTATTAGAGAATCAGAGAATTGATAAAAATGCAGTTTACCTAAAAGGTAAGAGGAAATCTTTTATGAAGAAGTAAAAAACATATCCATATTTTTAAATTAATTTTTTGGTCTAAAAAGTTAGATTTCAAAATAGCTTTTTATCCCAGTTATAAAGTCTTTTATAAAATAAGAAGAAAATACCATCAATATTGTATGTTTTTTGTATTATTCTGTTTTTAATGACTTTTGAATACTTAACTTCCACACCACATCTTCATCAAATATTAAAAAATAAATATTTTATATACATTTACTTTTGTCTAAGCAATTGAATAACTAAAGAATTGGTAGGTTTTTTAGGAATAATTGTGTCGGTTACTTCCCATTATGTATTCTCTTTTTTTTTGTCATTATCAAATAGGAACATTTACGAAAACCTTTTATTGTTAGATCAGTAAAGAGAAAAGTGAGGAAAGAAAGGTCCCACAGTTTCAGTGTTTGCTCACGTGCAACATTTCTTGATCCTGAAAATGTTGAACAAGTCCAGACATGAACATTTTTTAAAATTTCCTTACAATTCGGAAAAAATTAGGTCTCGTATTTGCCAAAGAGCTCAGTATTTTTTGGGTTCAATTTTTTGGAGTAAAGAATTTCTCGAATCTTATCTGCAAACAGCATCAGCCGATGGCGGCGATATTCTTCACGATGATGATTGCATTTTCATGAATGTTGATGGCCGACTAGTCGAGCATTAAGACTACACTGGAAGAAATCTATACATTCAATACAATCTGAAATATATCTTTTTTTTTTTCCCACCTCAATTTGCAAAACCTCTATATTACCTTTGGATTCTTATATGAAAGTTATTTGAAATATTTTGAATTTTTTTACAGTGTACATCTGTGAGGTGCATTAATTTTGGGTCATTTTAGGGTTCGTCTCGTTTCGTTTTCGTCTCGTTTAATCCTCTTTTATCTTTCATTTTTGATGTGTTTGGGGTTTTTCATTGTGTTGGCGTTTCTACCTGCCGATGCTGCGTTTTTGACCCTTGCACGTGTGCAACGATGGACCCTTTTTACCATTTTACCCAAATGCAACAATATACAATCGGACAGGGGGTGGGGGTGCAAAGGGTACCTTGTATGACCGTGACTGTAACCGTCGAATGCCACTCCAATCCAGCGTAATTGTGACCTTCCGGAAAAGGGGATTAGACCTGCCATTGTCCAATGCCGATTTTTTGGCCTGAAATCAGAAACGCTTCTTCCAAAATAATGGTAAAAGGGTCTTATCAAATGCAAAGAGTTTCGGTTTCGGTTTCGCTTCAATCCAACAAAAAATTTACCCAAAATGTAAATGTTTTGGAATTGAAAGAAAATGTATCAGGGTGAAAGAAGTTCCCCAAAGAATCTTTTGTATTGAATTTCTACTCAAGGGTAATGTTTTTTTGGGGGGGATCACAGTTGATTGATTGATGGGAAGGGCTCGAATTATAAAATCAAATGAGACGGGCCCAGCAAAGATTTTATGAAATTGAACAATATAAATTGTCCTGAATTGAATATTTATCGTTGAGTGGGCATTTTCATTTTGGTTTTCTAAGTGATTTTATATATTTTTAGTAAGTATCCTAAAGAATTTAAGGTGGGGAACCATGTTTTGAAAATGTATGTACTTTTTTGGTCCTTTTTATTATATTTTCTACATTTAATATACAAATATTCATTACACTTCATCAGCACATCGTTTGGAAGAAGCGTTTTAGTTTGTGGATCGACTGAAATTTGCCTAGAAACATAATCTAGGGCTATTTATGGATATCCCATATGTCCGATATGAGCCATTGCGAAGGCTATTTCTTCGCCAATAATCATCCGATTCTTAAGCGGGATACTTTAAACGATTCGTGGATAGATTATCCGTAAATCTGCATCAAAATCTAGACGGAAGAAATTTTTTTAATTTTTTGTCATTTTTTTCTGGATCATCCCATTCAAAATTTTAAAAACGCATGGGAGCTCCATATGAGCCACTGTGAAAGCTATATTTTTGCCAATAATCATCCGATTCTTAAGCGGGATACTTTAAACGATTTGTGGATAGATTCTCCGTAAATCTGCATCAAAATCTAGACGGAAGAAATTTTTTAAATTTTTCGTCATTTTTTCTGGAGCATCCCCTTCAAAAATTTTAAAAACGCATGGGAGCCCAATATTGAGACACTGTGAAAGCTATATCTTTGCCAATAATCATCCGATTCTTAAGCGGGATACTTTAAACGATTTGTGGATAGATTCTCCGTAAATCTGCATCAAAATCTAGACGGAAGAAATTTTTTAAATTTTTTGTAATTTTTTATGGGGCATCCCCTTCCAAAATTTAAAAAACGCATGGGAGCCCCATATGAGCCACTGTGAAAGCTATATCTTTGCCAATAATCATCCGATTCTTAAGCGGGATACTTTAAACGATTTGTGGATAGATTCTCCGTAAATCTGCATCAAAATCTAGACGCAGAAAGTTTTTTAAATTTTTTGTCATTTTTTCTGGAGCATCCCCTTCCAAAATTAGAAAAACGCATGGGAGCCCCATATGAGCCACTGTGAAAGTTATATCTTTGCCAATAATGGTCCGATTCTTAAGCGGGATACTTTAAACGATTTGTGGATAGATTCTCCGTAAATCTGCATCAAAATCTAGACGCAAGAAATTTTTTGTCATTTTTTCTGGAGCATCCCCTTCAAAAATTTTAAAAACGCATGGGAGCCCCATATGAGCCACTGTGAAAGCTATATCTTTGCCAATAATCATCCGATTCTTAAGCGGGATACTTTAAACGATTTGTGGATAGATTCTCCGTAAATCTGCATCAAAATCTAGACGGAAGAAATTTGTTAAATTTTTTGTCATTTTTTATGGGGCATCCCCTTCCAAAATTAGAAAAACGCATGGGAGCCACTGTGAGCCACTGTGAAAGCTATATCTTTGCCAAAAATCATCCGATTCTTAAGCGGGATACTTTAAACGATTTGTGGATAGATTCTCCGTAAATCTGCATCAAAATCTAGACGCAAGAAATTTTTTAAATTTTTTGTCATTTTTTCTGGAGCATCCCCTTCAAAAATTTTAAAAACGCATGGGAGCCCCATATGAGACACTGTGAAAGTTATATCTTTGCCAATAATCATCCGATTCTTAAGCGGGATACTTT